CCAGTGGGCTAACTAGAATGCCCAGATTTTTGGAAGACCTTTTCTAGGAATTTTAATATAAAACATACAAAGTTTACCAGCCTACTAATTCTATTTTTCTTTTTCTTTTTTTTTTTTTTTGCCAGTCCTGGGGCTTGAACTCATGACCTGGGCATTGTCCCTGAGCTCCTTTTGCTCAAGGCTAGCACTCTACCACTTGAGCCACAGAACCACTTCCAGCAGGGCTTCGTGCCTGCTATGCTAGTGCCCCACCACTAACCCACATTCCCAGCCTACTAATTCTATTTTTTGTCATACACTGGCAACCTGTCTAGCATCTAGAAAGACTAGATGTAAGTTAGGACTACTTTGTCCTTTATATAAGTTCACAATAAAACAAAATGGGATAATGTTACTCTACTGTAAGCACTGGTGTGGCTCTCCTTACGTTTCCCTTGGGGACCAGGAGGGCACAGCACCATGCTTTACAACTCAAGGGGTTGACCATCCACCCCACCCCCAAAAAATACATAGGAATTTTAACAAAAAGACATTTTTACAAAACGTGTTATTTTCCTACTCCATCCGGCTCTTGAGAACATCAAAGGTGCTTCAGCCAGGGGAACGACATGCGCACAGATGGGTGGCTGTCACTGGAACATGGCTTCCGCTCCCAGTGGCCCTCCTGCTGTCCTGCCCTGGAGGTGGTTAGACATCGCCATCCAAAGTCACTTCCAGAAGGCATGTCTGTGGGTTTTGCGCACACCTGTGTGGCTTTCTGCCCCTGCCTTGTCCTCCGCGGCCGCCTCTCCGCATCCGGCAGCGCCAGAGTCGAGTCGTCTTTTATAAGGTTGCGCGGAGTGCAGAGCAGCTTTTCCACGGTGGCCTGCGGGCACTGGGGGCACTGCGGGGCGCTCCACCCACCATTCCTCCGCGGGCACCGGCCCAGCCGCGCCCGGCCGCCGTGCGGGGCTCTGCTCATCTTCCAGAACCATTAGGGCCATCGGAGGTCTGTCGCGGGGTGAGGTCTCCCCCTGAGCCGCAGGGAGGACAACCCCCTCTCCCGCACCGCCCCCCCACCCCCCGCCCCATCGGAGGGCTCTGCGGCCTGGCGTGCTGGAGAACTACCCAGGCCTCCTGCGGCCTCGGGCCCTGGAAAGCCTCGGCCATCCTCGCCTGGTTCCACCGTGTCCCCTGCCACCCAAGGGCGCCACGTCCTCAGCAGCCCTGCCAGGCTTCCGCGGGGCTTCAAGAGGCCACAGCTGCCAACAAGTCATCGCCGCGGGGGGGCGAGGATGCGGGTAGCTCTCGGCCGCCAGTGCCCCTATGTCTGCGGGATAATGGCTGCGTGGGGTCCCGGCCGGGCCTGGGCCCTGGCTCAGCCTCCAGCCATGGACCCCTGGGAAGCAGGCTCTGTCCTGGAACTCCAGTTTTGTTTTTCCTTTGTGGTGGTGGTGGTGGTGTGTGTTTCTGCCTGGGCACTGTCCCTGAGCTGCTTTCGCTCAATACTGCCCTACTACTTGAGACACAGCTCCAGTACTGGGTTTTTTTTTTTAAGAGATTATTAAAGAGTCATAAACTTTCCTGCCTGGGCTGGCTTTGAACTGTGTTCTTCAGATCTTAGCCTCCTGAGTATCTGGGATTACAGGTATGAGCTACCAGTGCCTGGCTCAGATGTAGGTTTTTGTTTATTTTTGTTCGTCGTGGGGCTTGAATTCTGGGCCTGAACACTGTCCCTGAGCTCTGCAGCTCAAGGCAAATGCTCTACCACTTGAGCCACAGCGCCACTTCCAGCTTTTTCTAGTGGTTAATTGGAGATAAGAGTCTCATGAACTTTCTGCTTGGGCTGGCTTTGAACCCCGATCCTCAGATCTCAGCCTCCTGAGTAGCTAGGATTACAGGCATAAGCCACAGGCACAGGGCTAGATGTAGGGTTTTTGTTGTTTGTTTTGTTTCCAGTTCTGGTGCTTCAAACGGCCTGGGCACTTTCCTGAGCTTCTTTGTGCTCAAGACTAGTGCTCTACCACTTCTGGCTTTTTTGAGTAGTTTATTAGAGATAAGAGTCTCACAGACTTCCCTGCCCAAGCTAGCTTCAAATCACAATCATCAGATCTCAGCATTCTGAGTAGCTAGGATTACAGGTGTTAGTCACCAGTGCCCTGCTTCAGATATAGTTTTTAAACAGTACTATCATTTACTGCTCTGGATTTCTCTAAAGGTAGAAAAGAAATTGGGAATCCTTCTTGTCCTTGGAATTCATGTATAGAAGAGACTTTATTTAATCAGAGTAATAACTTTATTTCCAAATTCACTTTTACAGCAACAGTCAGTGTAAATCATTTGTTAAAACACACAATACACTATATGGACATTCACAGACAGGAAGCTAAGCTAAGCTGATTTCATGTCCCTCCCCCCACCCTCAAAATTACCAAAGACATCTTGGGACTTGCAAGTGCTGGAAGTGGTCCTGCCCAGCACGGCAAATATACAGGTTAAGTCCAAGAGGAGTTAAGACACTTGATCAGTGCCCAGGATAACCCTTTCCAGAACTGGAGAGAAGTACTTGAAAGGCTCATGAAGCCACAGACCAATAGCTGATAACCACCTCTACCCACATCCCCACCTTTTGATTGACTTGGAGAACAACAGTGAGGGGTGTGAAACATCCTCACAGCTACTAGAAATGCAGACTGTGAGAGAGCCAGTGGGAAAGGTATGATCCTAAGGTGCCAGTAGCTTAGAGGGAAGAGTGCCAGGGCCTCAGGGAGGTATAGATGTGGGCTCAGGACACAGACAGCAGGCCAGAGCAACCAGGGGTCAAGTCCCTCTAAAGCTGGGTGGCTGTACTGGGCTGGGGATGTGGCAGGAACCAGCTAGCTGCCTCTGCAAGGGGTAGAGCAGCAAAAGCCCCACGACATCACCTCCCTCGACCAACATGGTCAGAATCCTGAAAAGGGTTACAAGGCAGCTGAACTTGCTGCACTCCAAGACTGCCCCCCACCCCACCCATATGAACTATCTTACATGTTGTCCCATTTCCCCCCACAGCACAACAAGCAATCGCAAACAGGATACAGTCTCACCATTGAAGTCAATTTAAATGGAACTATAAAGTGAATAGACAGTTTGAAGGAACCAGTCATAATATGCCTTATCTAGCCACCCAGAGCCAATGGCTCTGGAGTGGGGGAAATGGAGGGAGAGACATGCCCAGCCCCAGGGCGGGGATTGTCCATTACAGTCACAAGCCAAGCATCCCTTTGCAGTCAGTCAGCATGGACCTGACCACCTGAGGCCACGGCCTTTGGGTTGACCCCAACAGCCCATCCCACAAGGGAGATGAGAAAGCCCTCCATACACACACGGCACTGGAATTACAGAAGGGGGGAAATGAGGTGCAAGGAAAATCAGTCAAAATCTTTGAAGCCATCCTTCCTCCTCCTCTCCCCGTCAGAACTCCTTCCTTTCTGAGGACAGCTGAGACTCGGCAGTGGGGAACCTCACCATGGAAAGTTTCTGGGGCCCCTACAATTCCTTGCAAGGAGAGCTCTGCCCCCATGCCCAGGGCTCTCTTTAACTGTACCCATAGCAGAAGTGGTAGAACTGGGCCTGAGGCTGCTGGGTTTCGGCAAAGATGATTTCACTTTCTGAGTAGCAGCAAAAAAAGCTTGTTGTAGGTCAGTGGAGGTGGGCGAAGGCTTTGGGAACTAAATGGGTCCCCTGACTGGTCCCCTGTCCTCACACAGCCCAGACACCTGGAGTCTGTGCATGCTGGGCAGTCCTTCCCAGTCCCTCCAGTGGGGAGGCCCACCATGCTACCCCACAACCACAGGCTCATGGTGCTTCGGGGGCGGGGGAGGGGGGCTGCAGCTCTTCTGGCCGGCATTGGTGTCCTTTTTCTTGCAATACAGTGATAAGACTCTCTTTTAGAGCTGCTGTGGGCTTGAGGCTGTGACGGTAGAGGACCATCTTCATGTTGCGAAGCAGGCTAGCCACAGACTGCCCTAACAGAGCATTCTTGGGGGCAGCTGGAGGCCTCCGTGCTGGAGACATAGGCAAGCCTGTGCTCGGGCCTTCTTCACAGCTGAGTCCTCAGATGTCAAAATCTGCTGTTGAGCAAGTCCTAGCCAGGTTCTGGTAGGGGTGAGAAAGATCCAGAACCACCTCCCCACAACAGGGTGGGCTAGAAACCTCTTTACAAACATTTCAAGGTACATGCATCTTTTTTTTTTCTTCTTTTCATTATCATAATCACTCTGATGAAGCAAATGTAAACAGACAAATTCAACTACAATGCGACAGGGCGTGGACAGGGGGAAAGGGCCACATCTATGTGGATGTTCAGCTGCTCCAGCAGGACAGGCAGCACCGCTTCCGCTTCCGCTGGGATTGGGCGAAGAACTATCTGAGGGCGTGTCCCATAGCTGGGTGTGGAAGGTCGATTCTATGCATGTGGATTTGAACAGAAGCAAGCTGGGGTGGAAGCAGGGGATGGAGGGGGCTCTGCCCCGGGGAGTCTTTATCTGTGAGTCCTAGTGCTGGTGCTGGCCACCAGGACACCTGATCTGCTGCTGCTGGCTCGGCTCAAGAAGGGAGCTGCCCTGAGAGGAAAAGGCTACCACAACACCAAGCCTAGCCCTGGCTCCCATCTATGATGGGCGGTCAGGGGAGAGAGATTCAATGTGAGAGGCACACAGATTGGATAAGGGAACTTAAGAGCAGGATGGAGCTCCAACCCTTTGTGATGAAATGTTGCCTTCCCTCAAATCTCGGCCCTTAGTGTAGAGTGGGTGTTGCCCGTGTCTCACCAAGGGCCATGAGTCGGGTGGAAGAAGCCGGCCACTCAGAGGACAGTGAGACAGAGTGAGAGGTATGGCAGTGAATGGGCTCACAGCAGACACATGCACACAGCGGGACAGGCAGAGGGGGCTGTCGTGGCTACGGGAGGGATGGGAGGCTTGGGACCCACCTCCCAGTACGACTCCACCCCCACCCTGGACATTCTGGAGGTGCCAGAGGCCCAGGCTTAGGAAAGAAAGATATCCCCTTCAAGAGGCACAAGTCCTTACAAAGAGAGAACTGGTTAGCCCTAAAGTCCCAGGTCTGTGACACGGTCAAAATCGTGCAGTTTCAACCTTCAGAACTCAATAAAACAGGGTTTCTGCGGGGGTGGAGGGAAGCCTCTCAGCTCAGGAGCCCCCCACTGCAAAAAGGGAGAGGCCAATAATCTACAAGGTCGAGCTCCGTCTTCTCCACAGAAGTGATCCACAGGCTGCCGCCTTCCATCTCCTGCCCACTGTCCCTTCTCCAGTGACCACCTCCTGAGGAGGGACAGCCGCGGCCTACAGCACACCTGGACCCCAACAGCAGGTAGACAATGCTGTGGGGACAGAGGCCATCTTTCCTGCAGCCTTTTCTGCCACTTTCAGCAGGGCCCAGGGCCCCTTTCCATATCCCTGCCCTCCCCTCTCATCTGCTCCTCCCTGACCCCCCCTTCCACCTCCCCCACTTCACCCCTCACACTCACACATCCTCTGCCTGTGGCTCCATGAACACACCAAGTTTCAAATCGTTTGTTGTGGCTGATGCTGTTCATGACACTCCCTGGATGGGGGCGGGGGGCAGCAGGAGCCCCAGTCCCTTGAAATTCCCCAGAAACAGCTTTCAGAACCTCTCCTTCGCCCTCTTAATACTTAGGGGGGAAAAGAAAAAAACAAAACAAAACACAAAAGGATCAAAAAGAATTTGCCCAAAGAAATGTTGGGCATGGCCGTGTTTTACACGCTTTTTTTTTTTGTTTTTTGGAAAAATATTTTATTATTAGCCCACCAATCTATTTGGAAAGATGAAATTTGCTCTTATTCCTATCTCTGATTTTAAAGTCCCAATACCAAGCGACAAAAGCAGGTTAGGTGACACCGGCGGGCGAGCCCTGTGCGGAGCAGCGGGGAGGGCAGAGGGCGAGGGGCCAGATCATTCATTTATTTTTCCACACTCTCTCACTCTCTCTTCTCTCCACGATTACTGACCGCCCTAGGGGCCTGATCACAAACCCTGCTTGGCCAGGGAGGCAGACACTTCATCAGCCAGTGTGGCGAGCTGCGGCGAGTCTACCATGTTGATGCTGCCAGTGGAAGACACATTGCTGAGGTGCCGTGGAGACGTGTCCCCGGACACCACAGGAGACTTGTACACAATCTCTGCCCCGTGGTCTGTCTTGGCTTTGGCGTTCTCACGGAAAGTCAGCTTGTGGGTTTCAATCTGCAAGGAGAAGTGGAGGGGAAGTGCCAGGGAAAGCTCTGCCATCTCCCCAACAGGCAGGGCTGGCCTTCGGCGGGAGCTGATTTGGATTTTGTTGTTTTTTTTTGTCAGTATGGGGGAGAGGAGAGGTTGAACTCAAGACTTTGCCCTGGCTAGGCAGGTGCTCTACCATTTAAGCCACACCTCTGGCCCTTTTTGTTGGTTATTTTTAAAGACGGGGGGGGGGGAGACTCCATTTTATACCCAGGCTATCCCAGACAGTAATTCTATTTGTGCTTCTAGGTTACAGGTGACAGGTGGTGCTCAGCCACTGATTGAGATAAGATCAAATCCCCAACCCCCAATCTCTGCCTCCCAGTGAACTAGGATTGTAGGCTTGAGCCATTGCACTTGTTTGCAATTTGGAATTGTACAGTCCTTCTCTACCCAGCCTGATCAAAGGGAATGACTATTATTTCTTTTATCCTCCAAAGATATCTCATACATGTATGCTTAGTTCATATGACAACAATGCATATGGGTTTGCATGGTTTTTTTTTTGGGGGGGAGGTGGAACCGGAATTCAGGACCTCATGCTTGTTAGGCAGGTGCTCTAGCACTTGAGTCACAATCCCAGCTTTTTCTTTTAGTCAATTAAAAAAAATAAAGTCTCTTGTTTTTTCCTGGGCTGGCCTTGGACTATGATCCTCCCTCCCACCTATGCCTCCAGTAGCTGAGAGGCCTTGTACCACCACGCCCGGCTGTATTTTGCTTATCAAACTTAACACTTTCTCTTAGTACACGGAACATCTTGGTGCTTCTTGTTGCTGACTTAATATACCGTCACAGCAGATGAATCAAACTTTACCTCCTCCCCTCTGGATGGACATTTAGGTGGTTCCAATCTTTTACTTTTACATCATTTCACACATGCCAGTATAAAGTTGCTAGGTCAAAGGGCATACAATGGTGTGTGTGTGTGAGAGAGAGAGAGAGAGAGAAAGAGAGAGAGAGAGAGAGATTGAACCTAGGACTAAGCATACTTCTGCACTGAGTTCCACACCAACCTCACAGATTATCATCAACTTGCAACCAAACATGTTAAAGATCACTGCAAAAGATGACAGTGCTGGTGGTTGGGAGCACAGCTCAAGGGACAGAACACTTGCCTAGCAAACACAAGACTGAGTTCAACCCCCACCCGCCACACACACACAAAAGGATCAAAGGTTGTCTCCACAGCCACCAATGCCATCCATGAGTTACACATTTCCTCTCTTTTGTCAGTGGTTGATAATCTGCAGGTGACAGAAATTGCACCCAGCATTGGCAGGTGTTAGCTGTGATACAATGTAGCCCTTCTTAAAGGGACAGAGATGTAGCCAAGAGTCTAAAGGATGCTGGGAAATTCAGAGTAGAAAGCATTAGCTGGAGGTGTGTGAATACAATAATACTCTACTGATTAACCCAAGGACGCAGACACAGGAATTCTCCACCTTATTTTGGATCCTAAGCAATTTAAGCATCTGATGAAGCCAGAAAAATGTGTGTGACCACACTCACACACACATTGCAATGCCATTTTCCCACACAACCTCAGGGCTCTGAGGACCTCAGATGAGCAGCCTCTGCTCAAGGCCTTGCATGTGGACAGAGAAAACCCAGACTCCCATTTAGGCTACATGCATTTCTTTTTGGGAGGAGTGGTCGCTTTTTAAAAAAGAGGCACTTTCTGTATTGCTGTACTTGAAAGGCTGTTTGAGAGAATTATTGAGAGTATTTATGTTAATAGTTTTTTTTAAAAAAAAAATTTGTTTCTTAAGATTAAAGCAATAGCTTGGTTGCTGGTGGCTTACACCTGTAATCTTAACTACTCAAGAGGCTGAGATCTAAGGATTGTGGTTCCAAACCAGCCCAGGCAGAAAAGTCCCAATGAGACTCTTTTTTTTTGTCGGTCGTGGGGCTTGAACTCTGGGCCTGGGCACTGTCCCTCAGCTCTTCAGCTCAAGGCGAGCGTTCTATCACTTGAGCTACAGCGCCACTTCCGGTTTTCTGGTGGTTTTTATTGGAGATAGGAGTCTCACGGTCTTTCCTGCCCGGGCTGGCTTTGAACCACGATCCTCAGATCTCAGCCTCCTGAGTAGCTAGGATTACAGGGGTGAGCCACCAGCGCCCGGCTTCAATGAGACTCTTATCTCCAATTAACCACTCAAAAACCAGAAGTGGCACTGTGACTCAAAGTGGTAGAGCACTAGCCTTGAGCACAAGAGCTCAGGGACAGTGCCCAGGTCCTGAGTTTAAGCCCCACAACCAACGATGACGATGACAACAGCAACAACAACAACAGAGAATAAAGCAAGATTCCTGGAATAGCCAAAGCTGTGCTCCACTGCTTGTGCTCTTTGAACTTGGGAAATGGAGGACTGAATCTGAGGCCACCACAAAGATGAGATAGAAGCAGAGGATCCAAGAAGCTTGGACTTCATTGTGGCTCTGACTGGAGTTCTTAGGGCTTTCCATCTTATTCTTTGAAGACCACCAGGCTGAGGATCTGAAGATTCTGCCTCCATCCCACCTAGAGCTGTACCCCAGGAAGCTTCCTTGGCCTTATGGGCCCAGTATAGCAGATGCCTTTCCTGACGCAGACAATCTCCAAGGCCCTGGCCTGCACCAGTCCCACCAAGTCACTGCAGTGACTGGTCACACTGGAGTGGGGCCAGGCCTGGGGATTATTAAAAATGCCTCAGGATTGTGAGGCCCAGCCTCCTTGGGTGGGTGATGGAACAAAATAGTGGAACCTTGGTCTTTAGGCAGAGAATTATCACCAACCCTGCAGAGCACAGGGTCCTGGCCTGTGCCCCTCAGGCAAATAGCCTTTTATCTGGCTTTCTGCTCCTGACAGCCAGGTACTAAGGGCTCCTATGTGGGGCTGTGGTGGAAACTTCTGCTCCACATGAAATTGGCCTTGGGCTTCTAGAAACCAGAGGGGGCGGTCCCTGGGGAGCCAGAGGCTGTGAGGCCATGGGGGGACCAGGGCCCTTCTGCTCCCCTCAGTGCCAAGTGCACCAGGTTGGATGGCCACTTGGCAAGTTTCTCTCCACTAAATGATGCCCTGGGACATTTGCACAGACGTCAGATGGGCAAGTTCTTACGTGCACAGGCAGAGGCAGAGGCACGGGGGCTGTGGAGGCAGGCAGGGGATGTGTGAAGACTGGCCAGGGTAGGGGACTCCCACGTGTCATCCAGCATGGAAAGCCAGCCACTGCCTCGTCCAGCCAGCTGCACCACCTTGGGTGGTGCCCTGCCTCATGTAGGCTTGCTCTGATTTAACACTCCTGGGACATTCCTTCTCCCTCTGTTAGTCCCCAGCCAACTTTAACTTGGCCCAAGGCTAGTAAGGGAGCCTTCTACAGAACTTCCAAGTAGGCAGGCAGGCATGGGTGGGGCACCCTGGCTGCATTTATGCAGAAGAGAGGAAAAAAAAAATTCAGGGGCTGGGAAGGTGGCTCAGTGGTAGAGCGCTTGCCTCACATGCGTGAGGCCTTGGGTTCGATTCCTCAGCACCACATAAGCAGAAAAAGCTGGAAGTGGTGCTGTGGCTCAAGTGGTAGAGTGCTAGCCTTGAGCTGAAGAGCTGAGGGACAGCGCCCAGGCCCAGAGTTCAGGCTCCAAGCCCAGGGGGAAAAAAAAATCAAGCCCCTCTCTGGCCTAGAGGGAGTGGGAGCAAGCTCCTACTTTCAGTGTACTCTGGTCTCCCCTGCCCAAGACTAGAAACAGCTGGCAACTCCCAGGTCCAGTAGCTGACAGGCAGGGACTGAGGCATCTTTGCTTTGTTCTAATTGCATCCTAACCAAATGCAAATGAAGGTCTGTTCCCAGAAGATGTCTGTGGAACACCAGGGCTGATGCTGGGTGTGGCTGAGAATGCGGATCAAGCCAGTCCATTCAGACATTCCTCCTTTGGAAAAGTGAACCCTCCTTGTCCACTTCATTAATACCCATATCTGAGTGTGTCCTCCCCCAGACCCCCCCTTTACCTTCTTATTCCCTCCTCCAGGAACATGAGTGATATTATCCAGAGAGCCGATCTTCGACTGGACTCGGTCCTTGAAATCCAGCTTTTCAGACTTTACTTCCACCTGACCACCTCCTGAAACACAACACACACACACATACACACACACACACACACACACACACACACACAGAGCGCCACATCATATCTTCTGTGGCACAGTAAACAATGTCCATTACACAAGTTCTGCAGCCTGCAGAGCAAAGTGCCAGGGGCTGCTGGGGGCACAGGTGCTCTGGAGAGTGACACCAGGTACATGGTCTTGCAATGTAGTCCAGACTGACCTTGGATTTGCAATCCTCCTGCCTTTACCACCAGGGGCTAAGATGGCACCACCTTGTCAGGCTGTTGGTCTGATGGCCTGCTCTATCCTGAATAGGGCCTAACTGAGGTGCAAGTTCCTGCTCTGGCCTGTTAAGTTGGGACTCAGAATCTCTACTTATGCTGTCCAATATGGCAGCCACTGTCTACTGTGGGGGAGGACAGTTCTGGAGTTGGAACAATGAAGCCTCATTCTTGCTAGGCTGGTGCTGCTCTACCACTTGAGCCATACCCCTAGACCATTTACTTGTAATGAAATAACAGTACAGCTCTTCTACTGCACTGGCCACATTTCTAGTGCTTGCCAGACACGTGTGGTTAGCAGCCACAGGGACAGTGCGGATGAAGATCTCCTCACTGCAGAAAGATGGTGACTGGAAAGATGGTGGGGGGTGGAAGGGTAAGTGGCTGACAAGAGCTCTAATAGCCTCCTCTTCTGTTTAAACAAAATCACAGCAGGGCCATGACCAGGGTCTCAGGTCTCATACTGTAGAGCAGCTTGTGAAGTATCCCCAGTACTGGTCGGAGACATCCACATATTTGGCTTTGGCAAACAAATAAGACCCAAGGCCAGCCCTAGAAGCCCTGAGTACAGTCTTCTGGAGAGTGATGGGTTAGGGTCTGGGGCCAGCATTTCCCCTCCATACCTCCTGTGAGATGACAGGAAATGCTCAGTAGTGAGCTGGGGCAGCCATGTCCCTCCCAGCCCCCATCCTGCCCCCACCCAGTCCCATGCTCAACACCATCTCTTGAAGGAGGAACCCTACCCTGCCCACCCAGCACCTTTCTGTCCCAATCCTGGCCTTCCCCAAGGGCTACCTGGTTTATGATGAATGTTGCCTAATGAGCCACATTTGGAGGTCACCTTGCTCAGGTCCACTGGTTTGTAGACTATTTGCACCTGGAGATGAAAGAGAATGAGAGTGACATATAGATGGGAGGGAGGGAGGGAGGGATAGAGAGAGAGAGAGAATAAAGTGGGATTTTTTTTACTGTGGGTGTAACACAATGAGAAGCAGCTGTGTGAGTCAGGGCCAGGAAGAAGACATCCCAGTATCCCAGTCAGGGTGAAAAAATGCATTGTTGTTAAATTCAGCTGACCTGGCCCCCGGGGAGCTGGGTCATCACAGAATGACTGTGGGACTGTGGGACAAGCAGGACACTCGGTCATGGTGCAGTGCCGTTCTGTTAGCAAACACTTCAATGTAAACATGGTAGTCCCTTTGTGGACAGACTGACAGCTCACGTTCAATGAAGACACAGGAAGGAGTGCTCAGTCCGTGCAGCCTTTGAACAAAGTACTGGGAAGAGCGAGAGCAAGGCAGCCGTGGGCCTCAAAGGGTAGAAGCTTGGTACAGATGGGTGGGCTCTATCCAGGAAGCTTCCACAGCTCCGGACCCACATGAGAACAGAGACACTCAGCAAGCAAGACCCAGCAGGCTCTGCGACTCAGCATTAACCCACCTGGCTTAGCCTGGACATTTCAGCCTCTACCCAGAGGAGTGAAGCGTCCCCAGCAGGCAGGGCAGGTGCACAGCAGAAACCCAGGGGGAGCAGACAAGGCTGCTCCAGGAGGCCTCTGGGCTGGCTCTGAGATTCAAAGCTGGCCCAAGGGTTCTGCATGTAGCCTGGTCACATGCTCACCCTTCCCTGGGGAATCAGCTCTCCTGCGGCGAGGCTGATAGAGGACAGGGTCTGTACAAAACCATTGCCAGGAGGGTCCTAGATGTCTGGCCACTGACTGACGCCTCTCAGAAGCCCAGGAGCCAGCCACAGCAAGCCTGTGTGAGGTCCCCTAGAGGTGACCGTGAAGGGAAAGAAGGGGACCTCGTGTGAGAATGGGCTCATGGAGGCCAGCAGAAAGGAGAAGGAATTTCTACTTGTGTCTAAATGGAGGGCTTCCGCATTATTTTAGGTCATGGTTATGCTGGCTCTTGCTATTTGTTGACAGACAGGAGTGTGACCTACGTGTCACTGTGCAGGTGCCTGCCTACATCTGGGCAGGATGGGGGTGGAGGAGGCATTTTTTTTTTGTCAGTCCTGGGGCTTGAACTCTGGGCCTGGGCGCTGTCCCTCAGCTCTTCAGCTCAAGGCTAGCACTCTACCACTTGGGCCACAGGGCCACTTCCCGTTTCCTGGTGGTTTACTAAAAATAAGAATCTCATGGACTTTCCTGCCCAGGCTGGTTTGAACCTTGATCCTCAGATCTCAGCCTCCTGACTAGCTAGGATTACAGGTGTGAGCCACCGGTACCTGGCGGTGGGAGGCAATTTGCAGGACTGCCTGCAAACAGGCTCGGGGGGGTGCTGTGAGCTCTGGGGCTGGCGTGGATGGGAGTCTGGGGCAGGCGCATCTCCTGCCTTTGTGACCAGGGCATCATTCTTTTCCCCCTACCTTGGATGGGGCCACTTGTGAGAGAACTAGGGTATAGCAGGGGCAGGAGATGGCAAGAAGAGAAAAAGATGGAGGGCAGTGGGCCCTGGGGGGGAGGGAGGAAAGCAGCCATAGGAGTAGGGAGAAACCCAGCCAGTAGGCTGGAACATTGCGAGATGGAGAAGGAATGAGGCTGGCCTGCTGGGAAGCCCCTCCACGCTGGGGAGGGAAGGGATCCAGCACCCCAAAATGCCATGCCTTCCTACATTCAGCAGTGACCACTGGCCAAGGACAACGCCTAGGGTCAGCCCAGGCAGGCTGCCTTGGTGGCTCTAGGCAAGGTCAGAAGCTAGCCCCCAGGCTGGCGCAGAGCAGGACATGTTGCAGGAAGCCCCAGGTGTCCTGGGCTCTGTAGCTTTGTCAGCTACACATTGTCACGGGGGCAGTGGTCACACTGTCCTGTGCTCTGTCCTCCCATCCTTCTCTGAAGGAGGAGGTTGGACCCATTGCCCAGTCAGCAGACCATACAGCAGTTAAGCTGCAGAAAGCACATGGCCTCCCCTCCTATGGCCAGAGTGGGCAGAATACGTCCAAACAGCAACCACAGGTGTGCCCACAGACAAGAGGCGGCCAGTGGGGCAGGATCAAGTGGGGGTGGACAAGCGCTCAAGGGGAGGGGTGGAGAGACACTCAGCAGCAGACAGTGAGAAAGCGTCAGTGAGTGAAGCTCAAGCAGCAGCCCAGCCAGAGGCCTTGGAGGCGGAAGGCAGTGGGGCTCAGGGCTCAGCGTGCAAGGCAGCAGTACATTGCAAGAATAAACCCTCTGGGCCTGGAGGCATGACATGCGGTTTCCGGAGAGAGGGAGCTCACCCCACAGCAGCGCTCTCAAGGATCTCCTGCTGACCAAGAGAGCCGGGCATGAGGATTTTGCTGAGAGAAGCCTAAGGGTGTGAGCACTGTCTAGTGAGCACCGGCCAGCCAGGAGGAGCCAGCTCATCAAGGCAGCAGATGGGAAGTGGCTATCCAAGCCCATTACCTCACAGGGACACACACTTTAGGACACAGGGGGTCCCTGGGTACACAATTTAGAAGGGCCAAAAGCAGTCCTTCAATAAAGAGCCCAAAGACAAGCATCACCAGTGGCATTGTGTGTGGCTGTTTGCATCTGCAGACTGCCCTTGGGTACACCTGCCTTAAGGAAGCCCTCCTTCCCCCCCAGGGGTAGGAGATTCAGTGCAGCGGCAACTAGGCCATCCTGCCTTTGAGGTGGGATGGTCAGGCCTCTACATTCACTCACCACCTGCCCACCGTGGAGCCATCTAAAGTAGCCTGCCAGGTAATGGGGAGGAGCCGATCTCAGGTGCCGCTGTCTCCAGCCCAACTTCAGATGGACTGTGCAGCTCCTGAGAACAGGTGCTGGGCCGTGAGTGGTCCACCACTGGTAAAACAAGGACCCTGGGGGTTGGGCCAGGAGGACTCTCATTCCCAGAGAGGACCAATCATCTTGATTATTCTGCCCCAGCAAGCACATGCTCCCAGAGCATGGGGGGGGGGCGCAGAATCTGGGAACCTTGGACCCCCGTGTGGGCAGGAGGGGTGGGGAACTCTCTTCCTAGGGACATGGGGAGGTCCTGAGCCTGAGAAGATTTATTCTATGCAATGTCTCGCACGTCTACACACTCCTGCCTCTTCCCAAAGCGGAGACCGCAGCACGAGGATGGAGAGTGAGCCAGTACTCACACTGCCGCCGCCAGGGACGTGTTTGATATTGTCCTTTGAGCCACACTTGGACTGGACGTTGCTAAGATCCAGCTTCTTATTAATTATCTGCACCTTTGATAGCCAGAAAAAAGGATGAGTGACAACCACACCCAGATCCACTCTGCGCCCACTCGGGCTTCCTGACCTGGGGTGGGGCAGGCCCTGGGCAGTGAGCCCTGGGCACAGGCCATCTGATGGGGGTGAAGGGAAGGATCTTCAGGAGGAAAGGAAGAAAAGTCATCAGAACTTGAGGTTTGACATGGAGGCTACGGCACAGACCCTCAGAAGGCAACTGTTCACTTTGCCAAAGGTTTGTGATGAGGGAGGTCTTAGCACACCTGTAAGTCAGCAATGGGCGCATACCCGGTTGGGATGGAGTGGGAAAAGTCCCCCATGACACAAATCTATGAGAAAGCAGAGTCCCCCAGGGTCCTCATGCTCGAACCCTGACAAGACCATGGGAACATTCTCAGGGGACTAATGGGCACTGGAAACACCTGTAGATTTTCTTGGAAAGAAAACCCCACACTCCTTCCACCTCTGACTGAGGACAGATTAGAATCTAAGTTGCTGTCCTTCTGAAAAGTTCCCAAGATTGTGATACTCGGCCAGGGTTGAGAACCCCCAGCCTTGTGGAATGCACACTGATGGCTTTGCAGAGAAGATAATTTCTTGGGGATGGAGGCATAGCTCAGTTAGTAGAATGTCAGCCAATGAGCAAAAGTATTAGGTACCAAGTTGGAGTTCCAGTCTTGGATCAAAATTTTAAAAAGAGAGGGGCTGGGAAGGTGGCTCAGTGGTAGAGCGCTTGCCTTGCATGCTTGAGGCCCTGGGTTCGGTTCCTCAGCACCACATAAGCAAAAAGAAAAAAGCTGGAAGTGGCGCTGTGGCTCAAGTGGTAGAGCGCTAGCCTTGAGCTGAAGAGCTGAGGGACAGCGCCCAGGCCCAGAGTTCAAGCCCCACGACCGGACCAAAAAAAAAAAAAAAAATTTTAAAAAGAGAAAGAAAAAAGATCATTTCTGCTCTTTTTTGGGTTGGCCATGGGACTTGAACTCAGGACCCGGGCACTCTCCTTGAGCTCCTATGCTCAAGGCGAGCACTCTACCACTTTGAGCCACAGTGCCATTTCCAGTTTTCTGGTGATTAGTTGGAGATAAGAGTTTCAAAGATTTCCTGCCTGGCCTGGCTTTCAACTGTAATCCTCAGATTTTAGCCTCCTGGGTAGCTCAGATTACAGGTGTGAGCCACCAGTGCCCAGCTAGTTTCTTCTCTTATAGAGGTTCTGTTGCCTGGAAGGTGGGGTAAGCACCCTGCCCCTTTCCACCCACCCATCCCTCTTCCTCCATTCCAGGAGGCCCTCAAAGGAAGCAGAGCCCCATTCTCTGTGAACCCATGTGGGCCCGGTCGGTACTGCTGATGAACTCTAGTTTTTCTCTCTCCAGGAAGCAGGGAGAAGGTGTAGGGATATCATCAATGTTTTAAGTGAGGAACCGTTTTTACCAAATTTGCCTATCAGCTATGAAACAAGCAACCTGGTGTGTGGAAAGAAGCTGGAAATGTCTACGTTTGTCAGCTGGAGCAGGATGACATCTTCCACCCCACGCGGTTCCGTGGATGGAAAGAGTGGGCCTGGCTTTTATTAATCACAGATGGAAAGAATTACCAGCCAGAGTTCCTAATTAAGAGTCAGCAGTGCCAATACGACCCAACTGAGGTTTCAGTTTCGCAAACATCGGCACCTTTGTGAGCAGTGGGTGAAGATTTGAGATGGCCTGGGCCGGGTTGAGAACTGCCTGGAAAGAAAACCCCAGTCCAGCTTCTGACTCATCTTGTTCTTTTCCTTTATTTTACTGGTCTGACTATTACAACCTGGGAATCAGAATCACATGTCTAACCCACCTTTTCATTTATTTATTTAGTCAATCATGGGGCTTGAACGCAGGGCCTGGGTGCTATTTCCAAGCTCTTTTGCTAAAGACTAGCATTCTACCACTTGGAGCCACAATCCCATTTCCAGTTTGTCTGGTGGTTAACTGGAGATAAAAGAGTCTCATGGACTTTCCTGCCCTGGCTGGCTTTGAGCCTCGATCCTCAGATCTCAGCCTCCTGAGAAGAGCTAGTATTACAGTTGTGAGCCACCAGTGTCTGGCTTCATTTTCATATATATATATATATATATATATATCTGTGCTTTTCATTGGAAAATATGACATTATGATGGTGAAAACAGAAATTAAAAAAAAAACAAGTTAAAAAAATTCTTTTTGACATAGGGTCTCACTGTAGCCTAAGCTGGCTTCAAAATAGAGCTTCTCCTGTCTCAATCTCCCCAGTACTGCATTTACAGACATGAGCCACCATACTTGGCAAGAGAACAGTTTTCTTACCAACCTACTACAATCACTGTTGAGTTTTGATCTATTTCCTTGAAGTCCCATTGTATATAACTGTCACCATGTACATATACATGGCAGAATTATTATATATCTGCTTTCTTTTCTTTTTTGTTTTTGGTGGTACTAGGGTTTGAACTCAAGGCCTTGCTACACTTTCTAGGTAGGTATTCTACTACTAGAGCCACATTCCCAGCCCTGAATACCTGCATTCTCTCTCTCTCTCTCTCTCGTGCACCTTTACTAGTGTTTGAACATTTTTGCTCAAAGCTAGTGCTTTACCACTTGAGACATAGTTCCACTTCCATATGTTTTTTTTCCCTTTTCTTTTTTTCTTTTTTTTTTCTCTTGTCAGTCATGGGGCCTGAACTCTGGGCCTGGGTGCTGTCCTCAGCTCTTCAGCTCAAGGCTAGCACTCTACCACTTGAGCCACGGCACCACTTCTGGCTTTTTCTGCTTATGTGGTGCTGAGGAATAGAACCCAGACCCTCATGCATATGAGGCAAGCACTCTACCACTGAGCCACCTTCCCAGCCCTCTTTTCTTTGTTTTGTGTGTGTGTGTGTGTGTGTGTATGCACACTCGCGCACACGCATGCGCTTAATTGGAGATAAGAGTCTCACAGACTTTCTTGCCTGCACTGGCTTTGCACTTTGATCCTGAGATCTCAGCCTCCTGCATAGCTTGGATTATGGGTATTCACCACTGGCACCCAGCCTTTTTCTCTTTGAGAGGTCTGACTATGTTGCCTAGGGGCTCAAGTGATCTAGCCACTTCAGCTTCCACTGAGACACCTTCCCAGCCCCATAAGCCACACTTTTTTTTTTTTTGGGTCCAGTTGTGGAGCCTGAACTCTGGGCCTGGGCACTGTCCCTCAGCTCTTCAGCTCAAGGCTAGTGCCCAACCACTTGAGCCACAGCGCCACTTCCGGCTTTTTTCTTTTTGTTTATATGGTGCTGAGGAATTGAACCCAGGGCCTCAGGCATGCAAGGCAAGAGCTCTACCACTGAGCCACCTTCCCAGCCCCGCCACTTCAGCTTCCTAACTAGCTAGAAATAACAGATATAAACCTCCACACTTGGCTAAATGTCGTCGTCATCATCATCATCATCATCATCATTTTGCTTTTGCTTTTGAGACAGAGTCTGGTTATGTAGCGTAGCTTAGGCTAGCCTTGAACTCGTGACCCTCCCGCCTTTGCCTCTCATAGCATGTTCCTTTAACAGCATGTCCTATGTACTCCATGAATTGTTCCTTTTGTTGCCAAATTGTTGCATCGATTCCATTTTAAACAGCATCCATAGCCTCCCACGAACATCTTTCTGCAAGAGGAATTTTTTTTAACAGTATAGATTATTTTTCTAGCAGAGGGCCCTGGAAATAGAATTCCTGGGCCAAGGTTAAAAATATTCTCAAAGCACTCAACACAGTTCTCCAAATGGCCTTCTAAAGGTATTGGCTTGAGAGCAGACAGGTGACAACATTACCGCCGCCACTGGCTACTTAGAAAGCCTGCTTTTACTAATGCACTTGGTCGTTTCTAGGCGATTGGGGGCCGGAGGGGGGATTCACTTTCCAGGGGAAGGCTAGGAGTCAAAAACTTAGAGGTTGATCTCAGCCTCAACCATTCATCTTGAATAATCCACTTAGCCCTTCCGTAAAATAAGCAGGGGAGTGGGGATTTACCTCAGTGGAAGAGCACTTGCCTGGCAAGTGCAAGGCCCTGAGTTTGGTCCTCAACTCTGAAAAAAAGAGCTAAAATGTGTGGATGGCAGAATTGTGTTCCTAGGGCCTTGGAGAGATGACACCCCAAAGGCAGCGCCTGCCGGGACACACTGGACAGTGAGGACTGTTACCGCGGTCACTTGGGAATAGCTCCAGTTTGTAAGCAGAATGCAAAGTCATAACAATTGTTTATTTCTTTGACCAAAAAACAGAGCTGCACTGATGGCTCCGCCTGAATTTCTTCCTTACTAAAATTGCTTCTTCTTTGTTTCTTTGCACTGTTGTTTTTGTATTTCTGAAGGCACTCTGAAATTGCTTCTTTTGTTCCCTTGTTGTTGGCAGGTATGGTGTGTGTGTGTGTGTGTGTGTGTGTGTGCTCCTGTGTGTGTGTGCTCCTGTGTATGTGTGTGTAGTATTTAACATACAAATGTTTACTTTTCATTTTTTTTTGGGGGGGTGCTATTCCTGGGGCTTTAACTGTAGGGCCTGGTAGGCTAGTGCTCTGCCACTTAAGCCACAGCTCTACTTCCAGCTTTTTGCTGGTTAATTGGAGTTAAGAGTCTCATGGACTTTTCTACCCAGGCTGGCTTTGAACCTTGCTTCTCAGGTCTCAGCCTCCTAAGTACCTAGGATTATAGGCATAAGCCATTGATGCCTGGCCAATGTTGACATTTTTAAAAGCTGAAATTCTTTCTTAGTGACATCTCTGTCTAAATGGAAGTTCAGAGTCGGCCAGAGATAGAACTCCAGGCCACGCCTCTGGCCCCCCTTCTTTACAGCACAGAGGCCATCTGAGGCCTAGAGGCTCAGCAACTGCAGTAGGGCAGTGGTAGACATCACATTAGAACCCAGAATTGGATGTCCCTGCAGCCACTGAGGACAACAAAGCTTTGCCTGGGATGACCTCAAGGTCTTGCCTCATAAACCAAATAAAAACAATACTGACTCCTGGCCGACCCAGAACTTCTCTCCTGGCAGAGATGAGTAGTCAGTCACTGGGACAGCGCGCAGCCAAGGTTGGGCAGGGGTGGGGAGGCCTTTCCCATACTGGTTGGTTCTGTGTGTGTGTGTGTGTGTGTGTGTGTGTGTGTGTGTGTGTGTGTGTGTGTGTGTGTGTGTGTGTGTGTGTGAGACAATACTGGGGCTTGAATTCAGGTCGTGGGTGCTGTCCCTGAACTGTTTTGCTCAAGGCTAGCTCTTTACCACCTGAGCTACAGCTCCAATGTCTGGCTTTTTGGTATTTAACTGGAGATAAGAATCTCATGGACTTTACTGCCCTGACTGGCTTAGAGCCATGATTCTCAGATCTGAGTAGCGAAGATCACAGGCTGAGCCATTCACATCCAGCTTACCCTCAGGTGATTTTAACAGTCTCACGTGAGCCTCTCCTTTGGGACTCTCTTCTCCCTTTCCCCCTTTTTCCTCTTTCTCTTTTTCTTTCTCTCTTTTTGGTGGGCTTGAACTCTGGGCCTGGGCACTGTCCCCCAGCTCTTTAGCTCAAGGCTAGCACTCTACCACTTGAACTACAGCGCCACTTCCGGCTTTTTCTGCTTCTGTGGTGCTGAGGAATCGAACTCAGGGCCTCATGCATGCAAGGCAAGCGCTCTACCACTGAGCCACCTTCCCAACCCTCTCTTTTTCTTTCTTTCTTTCTTTCTTTTTTTTTTTTGCCAGTCTTGGGGCCTGAACTCTGGGTCTAGACACTGTCCCTCAGCTCTTCAGCTCAAGGCTAGTGCTCTACCACTGGAGCCACAGCGCCACTTCCGGCTTTTTCTGTTTATGTGCTGAGGTGCTGAGGAATCGAACCCAGGGCCTCATGCTTGCAAGGCATGCACTCTACCGCTAAGCTACCTTCCCAGCCCCCTCTTTTTCTTTATCTCTTGTTTTCTCCCTTTCTTTCTCCCTCTCCTTCCTTCCTTCCCTCTCTCCTTTACTTCCTTTTTCCTCCTTTCTTTTCCCTTCCCTTCCCTCCCTCCCCCACTTCCTCCTTCCTTTCTTTTTTTGTACTGAGTTGTGGACCCCAGCCCATGGAGTCATTTTCTGTTCACAACTTCTTCTTGGATAAATCCCAGAAGCAGATCTGCCAGCTTTCAGAAAAGAACAGAAGCAGTTTAGAATTACAAAGCTCACAATGGCTCACCTGGCTACTCAGAAGGCTGAGACCTGGAGGATTGCAGTTCTAAGCTAGCCTAGGCAGGAAAGTCCAAGAGACTCTATCTCCAATTAACCAGCAAAATGCCAGACTGGAAGCATGGTTCCAATGGTAGTGCACCAGCCATGAACAAGAAAGCTGAGTGAGAGTGTGTAAGACTTTGGTACCAAAGATTTTTTTTAAATGAAAAAAAACCCCACACATTCCATCTGATAATAAAAACAAGTATCTATAGCTATACTATCCTGAACACACCCAATCTCACCTGATCTCAGAATCTAAGGAGGGTCAGGCCTGGTGAGTACTTGGATGGGTGATAACAAAACAAGAAAAACTTAAAAAGCAAAATGTAAAAATAAGGGAAGGCTATTGAGAATGACAAGTATAAGACTGAATGTTATATTTAGCCCTGAGCTTCCTGGAAGCCAAGGCAAAAAAAAAAAAAAAAGAAAAGAAAAGAAAAAGAAAAAGAAAAAAGAAAAATGATGGGTTACATAACCCTTCTTATTTGACAAAGAAAACTTTCCAGTTTCTCAAAGGACGATAACCTTATTTTCTGCACTAACACATAAAAGAAACTAATCAAATTAATCAGGGGACATTAAGCAATAACACAAGGTCTGTAATGTACATTAAGAAAAATTTTCCCCAATGTGGTTTTTTTCTTGTTTCAACCCCACAGAAAAGGCAAGAAGCTTTTGTGGGGTTTGGCAACAGACATAAGGATATTTACAAAGCAGATGTGAATGACCGTCAGTTGTCCCATTAAGTCAACATCCTTTAGAGAATCTCAGATTTACAGAAAGCAGAGAAGAGGATGATGGTTGGCATTATGAAATTGCAATCCTGAAATTTCTCAGTTAAAGCAACATGTAAGATTATTGAATCTCAGCCCTGGCCAGACACAGGGAATACCCATCAGGGGAGAAGAGTGTTTTGGGAGCTCCAATATTTTATTTTTCTTTTTGTCCATCTTGGGGCTTGAACTCAGGGCGTGGGCACTGTCCTTGAGCTCTTTTGCTCAAGGCTAGAGCTCTACCACTTTGAGCCACAGTGCCACTTCTGATTTTTGAGCGATTTCTAACTTTTTTTGGGGGGGGTCCAGTCCTGGGGCCTGAACTCTGGGCCTGGGCGCTGTCCCTCAGCTCTTCAGCTCAAGGCTAGCATTCTACCACTTGAGCCACAGCGCCACTTCCGGCTTTTTTCTTTTTGCTTATGTGGTGCTGAGGAATCGAACCCAGGGCCTCATGCATGCAAGGCAAGCACTCTACCACTGAGCCACCTTCCCAGCCCTTTTTGAGCGATTTCTATTGGAGATAAGAGTCTCATAGGCTGGCTTTGAATCGCTATCCTCTGATCTCAGTCTCCTGAGCTGCAAGGATTATAGGCATGGGCTGCCAGTGCCTGACTAAGGGATCCCCAATTTTTTATCTGAGTGACTTCTATCAGGAGAGAAATGAGTGTTGTAAAGGATTGACCCCAGAAGAGATACTAGTAGGCTGGGGCTAGGATGGATCCACTTTGGTTTAACCCATTTCCTAAGGAACCCCAAATTCTCCCAATCCTTCACTAGGCCTTGATCTGGCTCTGTCTGGGTTCAGACCTCTCCAGATGGCTTCTGCCTTGCTCTCAGGCTTCCAGCCCCCCCAGCCAGCCTCTCTGACTCCAGTCTGGCTCAGACTAAGCCATCATTGTCTCGTGCTTGCTGGGCTTGGCCTCACAGTGTCAGTCAGCAACACCCTGGCAGTACACTAACCCAGAGCAGTCAGCAGACATCCACAGCAAGCCTTGTCTTAAACCCAAGATGGTCTATCTGAACATAAGCACAGAAAACCCTGTGTCCTGTCAGGTCAACTGCCAAAGAGATTCATTAACAGGAAGATCCTCTTTAGGACTGGGACTGCTCCTTTAAGATCAATTTCATCAACACAATATTTTTCAGAAGCATAGACATGCAGCAGAGAGAATGCTGGGGAGTCTTAGGGGGACAGGGCTGTCCAAGGCAGTGTCCAGCCTGGCTCTGCTCACCGTAGTGTCTGACACTTCAGCCCAAGTCACCCGAGTCCTAGCCTGATCCTGAAGGAGATGGAAACTACCCCAGGTTCAAATTCACTTCATTTATTGCACACGTGTGTGTGTGTGTGTGTGTGTGTGTGTGTGTGTGTGTGTGTGTGTTTTAGTGGTCCTAAGGTTTGAACTAAGGGCCTGGGCTCTGCCCCTGAGTCTGTCTGTGCTCAAGGCTAGCACTCTACCCCTTGAGTCACAGCACCACTTCTGGCTTTTTTTGAGTAGTTTATTGGAGATAAGTGTCTCATGGATTTTCCTGCTTGGGCTGGCTTTGAAACCTCGATCCTCAGATCTCAGCCTCCAGAGTAGCACCAGTGTGAGCCACCAGTGCCTGGCTATCTATGCTTTAAAAAAGTAACATCTGAGACACTGCTAATGAACGCACTAAGTGGTTTTTTTTGTTGTTGTTTGTTTGTGTGGGGTTTTTTTTGGTAGTACTGGGGGTTGAATACAGGACTCTACTTACTTACTAGGCAGGTACATTTCAAATGCTTTAAAAGGGTGACATGGAGAAATAGATCAGAAGAAGATGAGCAGGAAAAGAGAGAGATAACAGTGGTGGGAGAAGGAAAGGAAGATTTAAAGCAAAGAAATCCTATCAACACAATTGCAGAACAGGAAGCAACTTCCACTAAGGGTGTGTCCAAGAATGGATGGATGCCTGCAACACCTATCGCCATCTTGTGGCTGTCTAGAATAGTGCAGCCCTGAGGGCTTCGGGCTCCCATAGGGCAAAATTTTCTGTTGTCCTGGGGTCAGCAGGTTGTCCTGCCTCCAGCCTGGACACTCTCAGAGGAAGAGACTTTGGTTTTATCTGCTCAGTCAACCAGGCCACCTCCACGTTCAGACACAGAAAATTGTTTTTGTGGAAATGTTGGCACTATGTAAAGTTCTGCCCAGGTGGGACCTGCTCAGGCTTGGGACGTGCAGCCCTTACCTTCCCACCGCCTGGCTGGTGCTTCAGGTTTTCAGTGGAGCCAATCTTGGACCTGACATTCTTCAGGTCTGGCATGGGCACCGGGGCAGTCTGCAGGCGGCTCTTGGTGGAAGATGGTGACTTTGGGGGAGTTCGAACCACAGCCACCTTCTTGGGCTCCCGCGTGGGTGGAGTTGGCAGAGATGGGGTGCGCGAGCGGCTGCCTGGAGTCCCTGGGGAGCCGGGGCTGCTGTAGCCACTGCGATCCCCAGATTTTGCCGATTCACCTGGAGGGGAAAGGAAGGGGTGAGCCTAGGCAGGCTGGGGGGGAGGTCTGTAGTGGCCGGGCAGGTGGGGGGGACTTCCATCCTGGGGGGTCCACTGCCAGGCTGAGAACAGAGCAGATGGGTGGGAGTGAGGTCCACAGCTCCCAGTGGGAAGCTCTGGAGTCTATTCCCAAAAAGCCACAGAGTGCCCCATCACAGAGACAAACTGCCCCACTGTCCCTGGGGCAAGAGATGGGCCCCCACTAGGCCAGTCAACTCTCTCCTGGACTCAGAGGCCTCAAGGTGAATGGAGAAGTGCTACAGTAGGGCCCCAGGGAGTGCAGCTGGGGAGGATGGTGGGTGGGAATCGGCTTGGCAAAACTCCTTGTACACGACCTTCACTCTGAGGAAGGACGATGGAGTGACGGATGTGTCTGCTCTCTGCCTCCCTCCGCCCTTCTTGGTTCCTCTCTGGAAGCTGGGATTCAGAACCCCCTGAGCCACCTCTGCAGGCCCCACGAAGTTTCCTGCAACTGAATCCTCCTAGCTGTTCCCTTCCTCAGAATGCCCTTCCCTGCAGCTATTACCCTCTACCTTCTCACTCACCAGCCTCCGGAGCTGCGGGGACATCCTCTCACCAACAGATCCCATTCCTGCCTCATGCCTCCGCCTTTCTAAAACTGGGGACCATGAACCCCAGTGTCAGAATCTCCAGAAGAGAGGTGTGTGTGTGTGTGTGTGTGTGTGTGTGTGTGTGTGAGAGAGAGAGAGAGAGAGAGAGAGAGTGATATCTCAGGAGCTGTTGAGGAGGAAGTGGGACTTGTAAATGCAGATGTATGGGCCCTGTCCAGATCTGATAGAGTGGTTTTTCAGAATGGGGCCTGCAGAACTGTTTTTTTTCTCAAGCTCCCCACCCCAGCGTTGGGAAGCCTGTAAGGAACACTTTCACTTGCAGCCTATCTGAGACCTCTCTGTCAAGAGTGAGCAGCACAGTGGTGAGAGGTGGAATTTTCCAGTCGCTGATGTCCCTAAAACAGTCATGCTCTGTGACCACAGGGGAAGCGGAACCTCTGCCTCCCGTCTTCAGGACACAGGGCAGCAGTGGGCTTGGTGGTGACAGCTGTAATCCACTGAGCACCACTCACTTGCAGAGTGACCTTGGGCAAGCCAATCACTGTCCCTAAGCCCAGTGTCCTCATTTGAAAACTGGGGAGAGGGATTAGAGCCTGCAGGTTGGTGTTTTACAGATGGGCTGTTTTAGTGCTCTATATAGTTTTTTTTTTTGTCAGTCGTGGGGCTTGAACTGTGGGCCTGGGCGTTGTCCCTCAGCTCTTCAACTCAAGGCGAGTGCTCTACCACTTGAGCTACAGCGCCACTAGATGGGCTGTTTTAGCAGGGTCCTCTGCAGAGCCTACACTCACAGAAAAGTTGCTCAATAAATGTCAGTGGAACGCCGGGCACTGGTGGCTCACACCTGTGATCCTAGCTACTCAGGAGGCTGAGCTCTGACGATTGTAGTTCCAAGACAGCCTAGGCAGGAAAGTTTATGAGATGCTTAACTCCAATTAACCACCAGAAAACCAAAAATGGCACTGTGGCTCAAAGTGGTAGGGCACTAGCCTTGAACAAAAGCGCTCAGGGGTAGTACCCAGGCCTGGAGTTCAAACCCCATGACTAACAACAAGAAGTCTCATGGGCTTTCCTGCCTAGGCTGGCTTTGAACTGCAATCTCCAGGTCTCAGCCTCCTGAATAGTAGGATTACAGGTGTGAGCCCCCAATGCTGAGCCCATGAGAATCTTATCTCCAATTAATCACAGAAAGAGTGGGAAGTGGTGCTGTAGCTTAAGTGGCAGAGTACTAGCCTTGAGCAAAAAGAGCTTAGGGACAGTGCCCAGGCCCAAAGTTCAAGGTCCAGGACTGGCAAAAAGTGAAGAAAAATAAATGGCAGTGGAAGCCAGGTATGGTTAGTGCACCCCTGGGGTCTCAGTTACTAGCAGCCTAGGAGTAAGAGACCAGCCTGGGCAACAGAACAAGACCCCATACCCCAAACAAACACACACCTTCTCTCTCAGTGGGGATTTTCCGAACCCTAAACGTGGTCCAAACCTCAAACACCCCGAACTGTCCTTAGGCACACAAGCCCTGCCCCACACTCCCCACAGCCCTTGTCCCTGAAGCAAAGAACACACAAGACTGAAGAGTTCAACCAGACAGACTCATCTGTGAGAAGAGAAGTAGGGGTGTGTTTCCAGTGCCCCAGGGATCAGTGGGGAATGCCTAGTGGTAAGTGTGGGTCCCTCCCAGCCCTAGAAGCAGCCCAGCACACAGGCCTAGGGGCTGGGGAAGCAGGCCCACAATTACCTCTCGGGGACCGTGTCTCTGCAGGGGGTGGCTTTCTCTGCACTTGCTTGGAAGCTTAAAAAGAAAAACCCACAGACAGCCCAGTTATAATCAGGTTTAATGGGGGGGTGGTCAGTGAGTTCATGCTGGCCCACCTAGCATAAGAGAGGGAGGCAGGGCACAGGCACAAGAGTCAGGAAGCAAGGCCAGCAGGGAAGATCTGCAGCGCTAAGAGCAGATGAGAAGCCTCAGGAGTAAGGCAGGCTGCAGCCTCACACTGTCACAACAAAGTGTGAGTCATGTCCAACAGTGGTAAGGGAGATGCAGCAGCATCAAAAGCATAGCCAAATAATCAAAATGCCGTTGATGCCACTCAGATCAGAGTATATAACAAAACACCAGGTCCCCAGACACTAGGTGAGAACACACAACAAACACCCTTCATCAGCAGCAGTGTCTTGGCACCACTCTTTGCACGCTTGGCAAACACATGCAGCCAAAGAAGGCAGACTCTGGGCTTCAGTGGCTCACGCCTGTAATCCTAGCTACTCAGCAGGCTGAGCTCAGAGGATCACCATTGAAAGGCAGCCTGGGCAGGAAAGTCTGTGAGACATTTATCTCCAATTAATCACCCGAAAATCAGAATTGGTTCTGTGGCTCAAAGTGGTAGAGCCTTGAGCAAAATAGCTCAGGAGGAACAGTGCCCAGGCTCTGAGTTTAAGCCCTACAACGGCTACTACCACCACAACTACCATTACCACCATCAACGACAATAAAAAGGAAGAAGGCGGGCTCTGTGGCCATCTCAAGCCAGATAAGTGAGTGGGGCCGTCGTAAGTCAGGCCCCCAGCACGGCCTGCACTCAGACCCCAGCCCTCCTAGAGATCACCAGGGAGCGGATGATGCCAGTCACACCTGGGTTGTGTGCCATCTGACACTTCCACATCCCACCTGGCCCTAACGAGGCCTATGTTCCTAATAGCACTAAGCCTGACCAGACCTCCAACCCTGCTGCATTTTATTCACAGGAATCAGCTGATGAGCACACATGCCACTGTGGGGCCAAGACGCTTGATTTTGCCAGAAGTTTCCTAATGTCCTCAGATCAGGCAGTGCCAAGCACCCCATTGTGGCCCTGAAAACACCCCATGCTAGAGCTGCCTATTCAGAACCCTGGATTTAGGGCCTCCGAAGCTCCGGTTTACTAGTCATGCAACTGCACTTTCTAAGGCTTAAGATAAGCTGGGTAGAATCAGCCAAGCAAGTGCTCACTGATCAAAAAGGGAGGAATCTATGTCTACCACAGGAAGTTGCTAAAGGATTAAAAAAAAAATGAACATTTGAGTTCTTGGCAAACTGTGAAAGTGCTGGTCAGCTGCCATAGGTTATTGTCAGTAGCTTCCGGAGCTAAGGGCTAAACTTTCTGGAAGCTTCCAGTGAAGACTCAAGACAACACCCTTACCAGTGCCGGGCGGAGTCTTTGGGGAGGGCGTGGTTTTGGCTGGAATCCTGGTGGCATTGGCTGCGCCCTTCTGGCCTGGAGTTGCTGCTCCCCGGGGGGTGGCGATCTTTGTTCCAGTTTTCCCATCGGCTCCCTGTAAATGGAATCAGGGTAAAGCAGTTTTCACCTTGGGGAAGGTGACTGTCACTGAGGCGAGGCCAGCCCCATTTTCCCACCTTGACAGGAAGGAGGGAAGGCAGGAGGTGGCCTCGGCCTCTTGGATGCTTCTGTGAGTGGCAGCCCGAGGCCCCGCCCACACACCCAGCACCCGGGTTCCCATTTCCTGCCAGAGAAATTGTGTGCGTTCATGGTATGACAGAGCTTCTGGAGCCATGGTCACAGTCATTATCCACTCCGTGTGACTGTGACCCTAGGAGACCTGTCCCTGAGGACATCGCTTTTCCAACTCAAGTTATGGATGTTTCTCACTGATTGTGACTGTGCTTTCCAGAAGGCCTGGAGAGAGACACCATTTGTTGAACCTGACCAAGAATGCTAGACAGTGCTAGGTCCTGTTGTTCTTTTGTTGTCTTCCCATCAGCCTGGGGTGGGGGTGGGGGCATCTCAAGGGCCCCTGAGCTGTGCTTAGACCTCTTCGTGGTAAACACAGGAAGGCTGGGAGCCAGCGCCAGCACAGGCATTGTCTGCTGGTTGGGGGCCTAGAGATGACCACTAGATATAACATGAACTTCAGTAGATGGCTCAGGAGGGAGGGAGCTGGCAGGGCTGGAGGGGGTACTATGCAATCATGCTAGGGTGAACTGGGGGTCATTTCTAGTTACCAAAGGAACCAGGCTGGGGAGCCCCTCTAGAGTAGAGACTTTCAAACTAGCATCCCCAGGTGTCTCCAGGGTGGAGAGAGAGGGGAGAAGGAAGAGAAGAGGAGCTACTTTCAAACTAGCATCCGCAGGTGTCTCCAGGGTGGAGAGAGAGGGGAGAAGGAAGAGAAGAGGAGCTCAGAGCCCCCGTCCCCCTCTCCCCTGGTCAATGAGAACCATCAGAATCTGCCTGGCACTTCCCTGTCAGCAGGTTCTCTGAAGGAAAAGCACATGTGAACACCACAGCAGGGTAGCCGGCTTCTGACAGGTCTTTCCTTACCTTGAGTTTCATCTCCTTTGATGCAGAACTGGCAGTTCGGGGTGTGACAGGAGAGGCGTGTTTAGGAGAGGTGGCTGGCTCAGGGCACACGGCAGGGCTGGAGGGTTTGATCAAAGGGTCTGAGCTACCAGGAGTGGGGCGTTTGGGGCTAAGGCAGGGCCTATGGTTCAGGGTTTTAGCACAGGAAGGTGTGGATGTCTTAAACATAAACATAAATAAAATCAAAAGAAAAGTCAGCACATGGGGGGAGGGAAACAAATTGAAAAAAATAAAAATAAAAAGACAGTGATTGAACATAAAGAGTGCAGGCCATGGTTTAAAGCAGCGATCTCCACAGCGTGGGGGTGCCTTATCAGCCTTTCTGAACCTCAAGAAAGGGAAGCAACCATCTTCTCTCAGCACGGGGTAACTGTCTGCAGTTCGACATGTGGCAGACATCACTAAACTTGCATATGACAGAAATTTTCAAAGAGAGGATGAAATGGGAGCAGTGGTTCTAGAATGTTCTTTCGCTCACCATTGCCTCTTGTGTCCCCTCCTTTGGAGACCACTGGTTCAAGGATGCTTCATACTCACTAAGTCCATGGAGATGACTGAGACTACAGTCGCAGGATGTTTCTCAAGACAGAACTTCACATGGTATGGGTCAGAGGTTCCCCACTTTCTGCTCAACTCCCCAAGGGGCCACTAGTCTAGGCTGGCTCCCTCCACCATGCCGACAGAAGCCTAACAGCTCAATGGGGATTGCTCTGGCCTCATCTCTTAGAGATTCGGACACTGATGAGGTTATTTTTTTTTAAATTTTTTTTTGGGGGGACTGATGAGGTTATTCATGCATGTAGGTGGGTGCGCACATGCGCGCGCACACACGTCCCTAATCTTCATGTTATCTAGGGAATCCTAATTTGGCCAAAGTTGACTCTGGAACACATCCCACCCATGAAAATAGCCAGTGTCTGGACACCCTATGTGAAGAATCTGCTCCTTTGAGTGAGGGCCCCTGACACCCACAGTTTGTCCTAACTGCTTGTAGGGGTCTCTTGATTGTGAAACATGGCCCAGTAAAGAACGGCATAGGGCCAGACCTTAGGGAATAAAAGCTAAATGGCTAACTGAGTCAGGGCTACAGAACAGGGACCTGACCAGAAAGCTACCTTGCTTTCTCCAGAATGTTTTTGTTTTGTTTTATTTTTGTTAGTCATAGAGCTTGAACTCAAGGCCTGGGCACTGTCCCTGAGCTCTGCTCAAGTGCTCTACCACTTTTGAGCCACATTGGTTAATTGGAGATCAGTCTTGCAGATTTTCCTGCCCAGGGGCTGGAATTCTCAGATCTCAGCCTCCCGAGTAGCCATGCGCCACTGGGGCTGGGCTCCAGTGTGTTTCTTTATCATCTTTGAATTCCCTGCTAAAGTTTCTGAAGCCCTCTGGGTGCCACCTTGGCAAAAGAGAAACCAAGGGAGAGACAGGCTGAGATCATGGGGCAGTGAGGAGAAAAGCCGGGTGTGTGTACTGACCACCTCCTCTTGGTTAGTGAGCAAGGCTCCTCTCTCTGCCTGGTTAAGGCATGCAACAGATCTGACCCGAGGTCTCTGAGAGCAATTCCAGGATGCAGGCCTCATGCCCACGTATGCAGAATGAATGCAAAGACAAATGTGTGAATGAATGCATGGACACATGAGCAAATGATAACATGGATGCATGCATGCATCCATGAAGTGAGTTCCCTGTCCCTTGTCCCAGTCCTAAATGTCATCATGACTAACAAGCATCTATATTGCTCCTACTTGAAAGCATCCCCTGGAATGGCAGGGCTCTTTTAGGTCTCGGAGGGATGCTCAGCTGCTTCCCTGGGCAGGGTCTGTGAGACTGGGGAGCCCTGATTTGCACTGGACAGGCACTTTAGGAAGTAGCCCTCAATCCAAGCTATCAAACTCCAGAGTCATCTTTGCATATGGAGACTCCTGGCAGGCTCTTGTACAAACTACAATCCAGATATGCTGGGCAGTGTTATGTGTGTATTTGTTTACACTGGGGGGTTGAACCCAGAACTTTGCACACATTAGGCCATGTGTTCTTGAACTCAGGGCTTGGGTGCTGTTCCTGAGCTCTTTTGCTCAAGGTTAGTGCTCTAACACTTTGAGCCACAGCTCCACTTCTGGTTTTTGAGTGGTTAATTGGAGATAAGAATCTCATGAGGACTTTTCTGCCCAGGCAGGCTTGTAACTGCAATCCTCAGATCTCAGCCTCCTGAGTAGCTAGGATTATAGGCATGAACTACCAGTGCCCAGCTCCAGCCTTCCTTCCTTCCTTCCTTCTTTCTTTCTTTCTTCTGAGACAAGGTCTTGCCACTGCCTTTCCCAAACTGTCCTAGAGCTCAGGACCACCCTATGTCTAGTCTACCTCCCAAGTATCTGGGATAGATGTGTGCCAACTACATCTACTTTTACAATTAATTATTATTATTTGAAGTTCTAGGGATCAAACCCAGAGTCTGTATATGCTAGGAAAGTATGCCACCACTAAGGTACATTCTCAGCCTGTTCCAGGCTATTTTATTTTATTATTTATTTTTTGTTGGTCATGGGGCTTGAACTCTGGGCCTGGGCGCTGTCCCTCAGCTCTTCAGCTCAAGGCTAGCGCTCTACCACTTGAGCCATAGCGCCACTTTCAGTTTTCTGAGTGGTTTATTGGAGATAAGAGTCTCATGGACTTTCCTGCCGGGGCTGGCTTTGAACTGCGATCCTCAGATCTCAGCCTCCTGAGTACCAAGAATAAAAGAACCAACGGCAACCGGAAGGCTCATTTTATTTTAATTCATTTTCTTTTAATTTTTATCTTCATGCTGGTACTGAGACTTGAACTCAGGGTCTCACTCTTGCTCTCACTTGGCTTTTTCACTCAAGGCTGGCACTCTACCATTTGAACTACAGCTCTACTTCTGGTTATTTGGTGGTTAATTGGAAGTAAGCGTCTCTTGTCTAGGCTGGCTTCGAACAATGATTCCTAGATATCAACCTCCTGAGTAGCTAGGATTACAACCAGCGGTGCCTGACTTTCCAGGCATCATTTATACCGGACATTTATTTATTTATTTATCAAGGTGATGTACAGAGGGGTTACAGTTACATAAGTAAGGTAATAAGTACATTTCTTGTCAAACTTGTTACTATTCCTTTAAAATAGGGCTGGGGCTGGGAAGGTGGCTCAGTGGTAGAGGGCTTGCCTTGCATGCATGAGGCCCTGGGTTCAATTCCTCAGCACCACATAAGCAAAAAGAAAAAAGCCGGAAGTGGCGCTGTGGTTCAAGTGGTAGAGCGCTAGCCTTGAGCTGAAGAGCTGAGGGACAGCGCCCAGGCCCAGAGTTCAGGCCCCACAACTGGACCCCCCCCAAAAAAAAGGCCTAATCTGGGACTGTGGTGGAATTTTCCAGAAAAGACACCATTGTGCAGTTTCAGGAGCATTTTCTCAGATAAAAAGTCACTAATGGATTTGGGCTGAGAGGGACAGGCAATACTCAGGATGTAGGCTGCTTCATTTGCATATATCATATCACCACTTTGACAAAACTGCCAGATGGGGGTCTAATATACTAACCCATGCTTGTCTACCCTGTGTTTAAGACGTGGATTGGGTAGAAACCTGATCCTCCAGTACTTCTTCAAACCCATGTCAGCGCCCCCAGAGAGCTCTACAACAATCAGGCTGCTTACCCTTTGCCTGTGCTGTTCCTGTCCTTGGCATACATGTCCCTGCATGCCAGCCTCCCTCCGAGCTCTCTTCCAAGGCCTTGCCTATAACCCCGCTTTTTACTCCAGATCACTTCCTTGCTCAATGCTCTCTCAGCCCCCATATGTATTTTTTTTTTTTTTTTGTCAGTTGTGGGTCTTGAACTTTGGGCCTGGGCGCTGTCCTTCAACTCTTCAGCTCAAGGCTAGCACTCTACCACTTGAGCCACTTCTGGTTTTCTGGTGGTTTATTGGAGGTAAGAGTTTTGTGGACTTTCCTGTCCGGGCTGGTTTGAACCACGATCCTCAGATCTCAGCCTCCTGAGTAGCTAGGATTACATGTGTGAGCCACTAGTGCTAGGCCCCACATTTTTTTTTTAATTTTCTATGTATCCTAAATATATATGTGTTTTGCTGGGTCTGTAGTGGCAAGCAGAAAATGTGCAAGCCCAAAGTTACTGCAGAAAATTTCAAGCATGCCTCCATTTGAACTGTGTGAAGAAATGGCAATTAGGAGCAGGAATTCATCAACCAAGGGCCGCCCTTCCCTGGTATTATTAGCAAAATTGATAAATGTTGCGGGTTTTTTCTTCCTTTTTCTAAAAGCTTGCAGAAAAACACAATGGCTTGAAATGACAGCAGTATTCTGGTGACAAATGCTCTGCACATGCTCTGTATGAGCCTGTACTCATACCGAACTTGGCCGGCATTTGCGCTTCAAGGTCTGATCCACTTACCTTTGCTTTCTTGTCATCATTTCCAGTGCCATCTTTGCTTTTACTGACCATGCGAGCTGATAGGAAAATACAAAACAAAACTGTGTGTTACAACACCGTGTGCACAGTTCCAGGAAGAGCCAATTGTACTTCAGGACTGGTGCCTGGCTTTCGTGGAAACCAAAGTGATTTTCTTCGCCTTCAAACTTGCTGGGTCTCACTTGGTTAGTATCACACAGCACACTGGAGCCATGGCTCAGAGCAACCTGGCAAGAGGGGGTGGCAGGCTGGTGAGGGGAGGGACATGCAGAAGGGCTGCAGTGGACACGGTTAGAGGCACCTGTTGACCCTGGCTTGTCATAGGCTATCTCCCTGTCTCTGCCAAGGTCAACCCCATCCCAGCAGAGCCAACCTTACTTGGAAGAGTATTTAAAGGTCCCAATGATATGACCTACCAGGTTCCCTTCCTGTGAGGTTCCACTTAGGAGCCAGGGCCTGAATGCCTCAGGGAGCCACCCTGATTCTTCTGTCCCATGGCCTCCAGTTTGGAAGTGGTCCTAGTGTCCACTTCCCAGCCACCCTACTTTCAACCACCTCCCTCACAAGGTCACCTGCCACCAGAACAGGTAAGCTTGGCAGGGGAGTCATCATTCCTTTGTTGCTATCTGTGACCCCCCCCCCCTCAAACTGCCCCTAGTAGTGGAGATCTTACTACTAGTCCCAGATGCTATCAGATGAGCCCATCCAACCCTACCCTGACTCTGAGGTCAGGGTCTTGCCACCAAATAGGAGCCTTTATGGACGTTAGTCCAGCTACTTCTCCAAGTCAGGTACAAATGAGTTACTGTCACACATCCATAAATGGCATCTGGGTGGAGCCAGCTGAACCACTCAGTCTCATGCTTACTCAGTCTTTCCCTCTTGCTGGTCATTGGTGACCAGGTGAACATATGACTATAGACTGTTGCTGCTCTTGGTTTCAACATGCTGTTCCACCCGCCTTAAGGCCATATGGTCTCTCAGGGCTCTGGGCTGCAGCTGTAGATTGGATTTCTAAAGTGATCAGTGCTGCCTCTCTAGCCTGGAAGACTTCCAATGTGACTGTACAAAGACTCACTTGGCAGGGCTGCTTATATATGAGCTCTGTACTGCTCCCACTGGGTCTGGAAACCTAGAGGAGCACCAGGAATCTGCACTGCAACAGGAGCCCCCATGCTTTTTCCTTTGCCCAAATTAACAGTATTATGTGTGTCACCATAACAGTACCTGCTGGGCCAGCCTTCCCCATCAGAAGATGGAGACATAAAGAGGAAGCCCTCTTCCAGGAGATGCTACCATTTGCAAATACAGCCAAGAAATTTATCCTGGACATCCTTCCTAGATGGTCACAGTTCACATTTACACACGAAGGGTGCTGACGAGTCCTGCCTGCACCAGCAAAGCTGGGTTTAACTTCGCTGGTTCTGTTTTCTCCACACTCACTGGGTCATGGAGCTCTTCCTTATCTTCCTCCACTGGACACAGTATCGATGTCTGATGGGTCAGGATGGAAATAAAGTATCATTGGGGAAACACTGTAGTCACCCTGCCATTTTGGAATTTAAAATAGACCATGGAAATATATACATATACATGGATCTCACTTCTGAAATCCAGGCTACCTTAAAGTTGTGGTCCTCCTGCCTCAGTCTCCCGAGTGTTTTTAATCTTTAAAAAATTTTCCCTATGGGGCTGAGAAGGTGGCTCAGTGGTAGAGCGCTTGCCTTGCATGCATGAGGCCCTGGGTTCGATTCCTCAGCACCTCATAAGCAGAAAAAAAAAGCCGGAAGTGGTGCTATGGCTCAAGTGGTAGCGTGCTAGCCTTGAGCTGAAGAGCTGAGGGACAGCGCCCATGCTCAGAGTTCAGGCCCCACAACCGGACCCAAAAAATAAATAAATAAATAAATAAATTTCCCTAATTCTAGGATTTGAAGTCAGGGCTTCACATTGGCTTGTTTACTTGGCTAGTGCTCTACCAGGTAAGTTACACCTCCAGTTGCCCTTGGGGTTGTAGTCTCATGGAGATTTTTTTTGCCTAGGCTGGCTTCAAAGCATGATCCTCCAGATCTCAGATTTTTGAGCCACTGGTATTCAGCTTAATCTTTTTTCTTTTGCTGGTCCTGGAGCTTGAACTCACGGCCTGGGCACTGTCCCTGAGCTTCTTTGTGCTCAAGGCTAGCACTCCACTACTTGAGCCACAGCACCACTTCCAGCTTTTTCTGAGTAGTTTATTGGAGATTAAGAGCACTTTCCTGCTCCAGCTGGCTTTGAACTGTGATCCTTGATCTCAGCCTCCTGAATAGCTAAGATTACAGGAGTGAGTTACCGGCAGCCCAGCCTCATCTCCATCTTAAAAATTAAACACAACTTCTTTTATTTACCATGAATCAAATGTTCTGCATAAGTAGAATCTAAAATCGACTTGTCACCGTGAACTAAGGTGCATCCATTGCTGAGCCCTGTAAATGATTCTAAAACATTGTGTTTTAAACTATCAATGCACCTGCCTGGAAGGTGGCTGTTTCCATGCTCCATGTGGCTGAGCTTTGACCCTGTGAGATGGCACAGTGACCTCCATCTCTGCCAGGGAGGAGGGTATACTAGACCAGGCAGCTGTTTTCTCCAGGAGGGCTATGGGCTCCCCTTGGGTTCTTGGTTCTCTCCAAGACTGTATGAGTTGTCTGCGGAGGAAGACAGGTTCCGGTGCCTTTCTGGCAGAAAAGCTCATGGCAATGCCTTCTCCAGGGCATCATGGGGCCATGGGGAGTGTGTGCCTACACTCAGAACTGGGCCCCATCACTTACTACAGAGTATGACCTTAGGTGGATTTCGTTTGCCTCTCTGAGTCTTCGTTCCCTCATCTACAAAGGAGGGCTAACCTACTTGGGATGATTCTAGACTATATATAAAGCCTGTTACAGAAACTTGAAATGGTGGCAGCTGTTATCTTTTTTGTGGAGGGTGCCCACCAACATTGTGTGGGCTGGTGGACCACAGTGCCACATCAAGTGACCAGAGAACCACACAGGGCAGAAGCACAGGATTGGGTGTGGGGGGGGGGAGTGTCGGTGGTGACATGCAGAATGGCCAGCCGGCAAGCGTGAGAGGAGCAAGGGACTGGGGTGGGAGCGGTGGTGGCCCAGGTGTTCAGTTTAGTGCCTGTCCCTGAGCTTGGACTTGAAGGAGCTGAGGAGGGCCGGAAGCTCAGTGGCAGGGCCTGAAGCTTGAGTGGCACAGGAGGGTGCCGGGGGACGAGCAAGGGAGCTGGAAACACAGACCTTTGAGTTGAGGGACCCGGCTGACGGGTCTCCCTGGCAGGCTAGCTGTAGGCTGCTTCTTAGATGACTCCAGAAGGCCAGCCTCTTTTGTGGCCTCTTCCATAGAGAGGCTCCGGGCCTCTTGCTCCTGTCCAGGGGCCCCCAGAAGTGTAGCCCCTTCCAAATCCGGGTGGGCCTGCGCCTGCTCCTTCTGCACGTTGGCTTTGATTTCCACGTGGAACGTGAATTCGGGGACCGCCTCAGGCCCTTCCGAGGTAGGCCCCGTGCAGGGCCCATCGGGTTGCAAGGCTGGGGTCTCTGTAGAAACTTTGGAGAGGAAATCAACAGGGAGTGGGATGGCACCCTGGGCTGGCCAGCTGAGGAGGCCAGTAGCCTCACTGGAGACCACTGCGGGGGATGGCCCGGCAGGGGCAGGTGAGGTCTGGGAGGAAATGGAGTTGTGGGGTGATGACTCATCCACGTCACGGTCTTCATCCAGCTCCTCCTGGCCACCCTGCCTCTCTTTGCCCCAGACCCCCTTCAGAGCCAGCCCCTCCTGGTGTTCCAGCAGCTCAGAGCTTGGGTAGCTTCGCTCTGTGTCCTCAAGTCCCATCCTTGAAGGTGGGTATGTGGCCTTTCTGAGGCCTTGTGGCAGGAAGTGGGTGCCAGGCAGGTCCAATATGCGCTGGAAGCTCAGACCCGGGACCTCTGGATCGGATACCTGGCCTTCATGGCACTCTGGTTCCCTGAGCAGGTTTTCCTGGACCATCCCGACTCTCTCAGGCTCTATGTGGAGATATTCGGGGGAAGAGGGCTTCAAAACAGCCAGACCCTCCCTGGCTTGGTCTCCACGTTCTGGTCCCCACTCTTGGGGGGTTTGCTCAGGCCCTCCCGGTGGAGGAGGCACTGGGTGGGCGGGATGCTGATGAGGAAGGTGTGTGATCGCTGGGACAGGAGTCTCTGACTGCTGGTCACCCAGAGGTGGCACTGAGTTCTCAGAAACTTCACCGCCATGTCCAGGCTGGACTTGAACACTAAGCTCCTTGGCCAGGGGCCTCTTAGGTGCCTCCCTCTGCTGTCCTGGAACTCTCACTTCCTCTGGGTTTGAAGAGGCAGCAGTGGCAAAGATTAGCAATGGTGAAGTCATGGTCTGAATTTTTTTTGAGGGGAGGTGACATTGGGGTTTGAATTCAGGGCCTTTTACTTGCTAGCCAGGTGCTCTACCCCCTTGAACCATGCCACAGCCCTTTTGGTTTTAGTTATTTTTCAGGTAGGGTCTCAAGCTTTTGCCTGGACTAGCCTCAGACCACAATTCTCCTACCTCTGGGATGACAATCAGAGACAAACGTACATGTTCAGCTTACTGGTACAGTTGCGGTCTCATGAACTTTTTGCCCAGGGTGGTCTTAAATTGCAATCCTCCCAATCTCTACCCTTGGAGAAGTTGGGTTTATAGATGTGAGCCACTGAGCTCAACAGAAGCATGATTTTTGCTATGAGAAAAAAACACTCAAAGAGCATCGCAAGTCTCTTTAACAACCATAAGGCAGGCCCTGGCCCTGGGACCATCAAGTTGCTTTTGTTTGCTTGGAACGAAAGTTCTCCTGTCTATGTTGCTGGGTGACCCAAGATGAAAACTCCCCTCTCTGGGCCTCAGTTTTCTCATCTATCAAAGCAGGCTTGGGCCTAATGACTTTCCAGGTCCCTTTGGGGTGGGCATTTCCCCTCCACTTACTGCTTACCCACAGACCCTTTGCAGGGTGCCAACCCATCAGTATCTCTTGTGAGCCCATCAAGGGTCCCTGTCCCCTCCCCTTCTCTCTCTCTTCCCCTGCTGGAAGTCACAAACCAGCTGGCCTCAAGCTCATGTGCTGACAGACTAGGAAAAGCCCTAATTCATGATCACCAAAGATTAAGCTTTTATTAATAGGTCTCCCATAAGATTCCTATAATTGGAAGCACATTCACGTCTGTCCAGGTCATCCATCAGAGCTAGCCTCTCACCTAAGTGGGGCCGGAGCATGGTGGCAGACAAGAGCCCGTGTTCTAGCTGGTCACCCAGCACATGGCCCTCAACTCATGGGGTCAATGGAACACTTTTTCTTTTTGGCTCACTCATGTCACATTTATGTGAATCTTTTATTTTTTTTTAAAAATAGAATCTGGCTGTGCTCGCAGGACAGAAAAGTTATGCTCTCTGGGTCTTTTAACAAGCAACCTCTCTATTTTTAAAATCACACCTTCTTTGCTGTTGTTATTGTTGATTGTGGGGCTTGAACTCAGGGCCTGGTCCCTGTCCCTGAGCTCTTTAACTCCAGGCAAGCTCTACCACTTAGAGCCACAGCTCTACTTCTTATTTTATAGTGGTAAACTGAAGGTAAGATTCTTATGGACTCTTCTGCCCAGGCTTTGAACCAAGATCCTCAGATCTCAGCCTCCTGAATAGCTAGGATTACAGGCGTGAGCCACCAGCACTAATCTCAACTCTGAACATTCCACCTAGTCTTAATACATCACTAATTACCCACATAGATCTCTAGTTTTCCTCTGAGCAAACTAACTATCCCAAAGGATTTAGAGCCTTAGAAAAGAAAGATATCTGGATGGTAGGGGAAGATAGGGGAGAACATGTATGCATTGATACAGGTGTGAGCACTGATATGCGGGTAACTCGTGGGTTGTACTTCTGTCCCTCACTGGAAACAGTGTGGCTGCACACTGGCTCACCAAGAGAGACTCAGCTCCACCTCAGTGTGGCCTGCTCCGAGCACTGTATGGCGGTCACACAGCTGGTGTCAAGAAAATAGATTGCTTTCTGTTCCTCAAAGGGCCTTCAGGTACCTTATTGAGGTCCTCAGTCCAATTCTAAGAAGGACAACCAAAAGCCAGAAAGCCAGCACAGGTGAAAGCTGGCTCTAAGTCTGAGAGGCAAAGCTTCTTCTCAGTGGACAAAATGAGCTGATGACCATGGTGCAGCCCCACAGGCCAGGTCTGGAAGATGCAGCCTCCTGGAAAATGCTCCCTAGCAATTGCTCTTGACTAGGATGTTCTGGACTCTGATATACTAGAAGACCCTAAGAGACCTCCCTAAACAGAAATCATGCAGAGACTTTGAAGGCATCTATCCAGGTTTGTGCGGTGGTGTATGAGGATGGATGAAACACGTAGCACACTGCAGCTAGAGTGCTGAAGGGAGGAGCCCTGCTCCAGATCTACTGGTTCTGAGGGCTTCTTCAATGGATGCATACATATTAAACATGGCAGTCATGGGGGAGGGGTAGAGGGAGAGTCCAAGTAAAGAGTATCTAGTAAACATAGAGACCAGACAAACTGTCCCCGGTCCCCCTCAGTGTCCAGGTTCACCCAAAGGAAGAAGGTCTGCCTCTGGGAGGAGCTGGGTATGGACGAGGCCCTTACACACCTGAGTCTCAACATCTGATGGCTCTATTCTGGGTTTCCATCTCTTAGGCTCCTTATGAACAGACTCCTAAGCCTTATTTGGGAAGACAGCCATGTAAAGCCATGGTCTGCACTAAAAATTTACAGAACAAACTCAGATCCACTGTTTCATATGAAAACAATTGGTGAGTTCTATGGGTTTGGACTATACAAAAGCTAAAAGAAAACAAGAGAGCTGTGGGTGTGGCTCAGTGGTAGGCCAGGACCCCTCTAAGAGTAGGAATGTATAGATATCAGCAAGGCAGTGTTCCCAAAAACCAGCCAGCACCACTAAGGCAGGATGCATCAGCCCACCTTTTGTAAAATCTAGATGTTTCCACATTATACAGTAAACTCTAGTTCATTTATCCAGAAAAAAGATTTTAAAAAACCCAGACAACCCTCCCCCCAAAACCTATGTCAGAGTCTCATTTCCTCAAATTAATGCAATAGGATTTTAAAATTAAATTCTTTTTTTTTTGGTGGTAGTTGTGGGGCTTGAACTCAGGACCTAGGCACGGTCCCTGAGCTCTTTCAGTCAAGGCTTTGAGCCACAATACCACTTCTGGTTTTCTAGGGGTTAATTAGATATAAGACTCTCCTGGACTTTCCTACCCATGCTGGCGCTGAACCACAGTCCTCAGATCTCAGATACCTGAGTAGCTAGGATTACAGGCGTGAGCCACTGGTGCCCGAGGAAAGCTGCTTTTCTTGAACACAGAAGTTGAGTTTCTGAGAAGGAAATCAGAGATCTGAAGGCTGCCCCAAAGGAAGCTCAAACACAAACATTTGCTGGTGATGGGGTGAGGAAGAGGGCAAGCTTTCAGAGTTATTTTTAGGAGAGCTGCCGGACATTCTCCATGGCTGGGCTGGCAGGGCTGGCTGCCTTCAGGAGACAGAGCACCTCAGGAAAGACTCCGTATGGTGTCAGGAGACCCCATCAAGACTCTTGCCAACTCTAAGTAGCCCACCTTTGATGAGAACCATGTCCCCCAAGTCCCCTGAGTTTGAGCATGAGGGCCTAGGTCAGAGCTCTATTATCCAGGCAGAGCCCCCCTCTGAAGGCTCCCATCCCCCTCTTCCTGACCCTCAAGTGTGGAGACAATTTGGGGTCACTGACCTTGAGTCACGTGTCCTGCAGCTTGGTCTTCCAGGTTTGGGGTGTCACCAATGCCCGCTTCTTCAGCTGCTCCGGCAGAGGCAAAGGAGAGAACATAAGCACACAGTTACTGCTTGCTGGGATCCAGGCTTTCTGTGTCTCCTGTATCTTTTCTGAGACCTGCAGGGAAAGTGGCTCCTAAGAGGACCATTGCTGCAGCTCTGCCCCTAAGTCACTGCTCAGGACAGGGATGACATGAGTTCCTGAAACAAAATCCACAGCACCACACCCCTTCAAGGTGATGAAGACCTGGGAGAAAGGAACTTTTCAGCTGGGCACTGGTGGCTCATGCCTGTGATCCTAGCTACTTGGGAAGCTGAGATCTGAGGATTGCAGTTCAAAACCAGCCTGGGCAAGGAACTCTGTGAGACTCTCATCTCCAATTAAACACCAAAAATAAAAATGAAAATAAAAAATCTAGAAGTGGAGCTATAAGCAAAAAAACTTAGGGACAGCACCCAGGCCTGGAATTCAAGCCCCAGGACTGTCACAAACAAACAAATAAGAAAAAAGAAAGAGAGAGAAAGGAAGAAAAAGAAAGGAAGGAAGGAAGGAAGGAAGGGAAGAAGGAAAGAAGGAAGGAAGGAAGTAAGGAAGGAAGGAAGGAAGGAAGGAAGGAAGGAAGGAAGGAAGGAAGGAAGGAAAGGAAAGGAAGATAGAAAGAAAAGACCTTTTCCACAAAGACACCAGGATGGAGGAGATGGTGGATGGAACCATTTTTAGGAGCCACAGGCGGGAGGTTCCAGGGAAGCATGATGCAGAGGGGTCAGGTAGACAGGTGCATGCCCAGGCACTGCCACTTGATATTTCTGAACCAATTTCCTTCTCTGAAGCTCCAAGGCGATTACGTGGGTTTGACTGTAGGAAGATGGCAGGGATAATAAGAGAATCTGGCTGGGCACTGGTGGCTCACACCAGTAATCCTAGCTGAGATCTAAGGATTATGGTTCAAAGCCAGCTGGGGCAGGAAAGTCCACGAGACTGTTATTTCCAATGAACTACCAAAAAGCCAGGAGTGGAGCTGTGGCTGAAGTGGTAGAGTGCTAGCCTTGAGCATAAAGCACTAGGGCTGGCACAAAGAAAGAGCGAGTGAGCAAGAGAGAGAGAGAGAGAGAGAGGGAGGGAGGGAGGAAAGAGAGTGAGGAGAGAGAGAGGAGAGAGAGAGAGAGAGAGATTCTGCAAGGATGTTTAGCCCTGAGCCTGTTATAGATAATCCCTCCAAAGATGCTAAGTATTTTCCCATTGTGTCCCTTTAATAGAACATCTAGAACAGGTGAGCAGCTTATAGGGGATCTTGGGGTCCTGTTTAGGGACCCACCGGTCACCCCAAACAAAAAGACTGAGAAAAGCTCTGACAACACCAATAGGCCACAAATCAATAAGTGCTCATACCTAGGAGACAGCAGAAGTTAGGGTAAAGCTACAGCATGGCAGATGCAATCATCCTGGGCAGAGTTTATAATGCATTGACCTAGAATTACCAGCTGCCTGAGGTAGGAAGAGGTGCCCACTGCCTCTGAGAAGGCCGTCACATTGCTAGCTGGGTCAGCAGCCTGCCTCCCAGACTAGTGGTGCTTTCTCTTTACCTAGAACCAACATGTCAGCTTGGCCTTCTAGGGACAGCAATGAGAGATCTGGAGTTGCTGACTAGCTACTAGTGGCCTTATTAACAGCCAATCCACTGGCTATCATGGGGCAGCTATGGTGGGGCTGGAAAGGGCAATGGGCTCAGGACCTCCCCTCCTTAAGGTCATCATCACACACCTCCTGGGTCCCCAAAGCTGTCCCTCTGCTGCCCATTAGGTCTAATGGCAACAGTTCACTGTCAGGTGACATGGTATTAGCTAAGCATTGGGCCAATCTCCCAGGAGGCAGAGTTTGCCAAGTGTGGGTTTTGGACAAGATTGTGGAAGTGGAAGACAGGCTCAGAGGGTCAGCAAGTCCAGCTACATGGCCACGGAATCCTCAAGACAGAGGGATTTCATCACTGTCTTGACATTAGGAGAGTCAACAAGATAGGGCTATGACATTCTGGCCCTGCTGTGAGGCCGAGCTGGGGGCTTGCCAAGATCTCTGACCCTAGCAGATGAGAAAAACCCAAGGTGGAGATGGCACATAGTGCTGGTGTCCTGTCACAAATGACTTCTCGCATCCCTGGGGAATATTTTCAAGGGGGCAGGGGCTCCGCCGTGGGGCAGCCAAGCGTCAGCCCCCACTGGACATCCATGGCCACCTTCATAGGAACATCAAGATGCAGCAAAGCAAGATGCTAAATCCACGCACAGTCAACAGCTGAAAAACTGTTGCCCCAGCTCCAAGACCTCTATACCATACCAAGATATGAAGGGCTGCAAGCTGTAGGTGGCTCCACCATTTTCGTGTGGCACTGGGAATTGAATCCAGGGCCTTCCTTGCTAACTCAGGGCAAGTGCTCTTCCACGGAATTATATCCTTAGCTCTTGTACTATTTATTTCAACAGGGTCTGGCTATGTTCAAGTCCCTACCGCAGTTTCCTAAGAGCTGAGATTAAAGGTGTATACCACCATGCCCACCTGGAGACGAGATACTTGAGCTGTGCTCCCTCTGGCTGGGGACCTTTAGGACTGCTGTGAGGGCTCTACCTGGGAGAACTAGAGGTTGGAAGAGGGGCTAGGCCAGCAGTGGTGGCTGAGCACAGGTGCAATGCTGACCCCTTCAGCAGGCTGCATACCTACAGACCTGAAGTGGCACAGATCAGACAGACCATGTGGGGACAACAGATCGTGTCTAGTAGGTACCAGCAGGAGCAAGCTACCACCGGCAGAGGTGTGTCTGCCGCTAGATCCAGGAAAGGAAGGAGGGAGGACATGTGGCTAGAATCCAGTGGACAGAGATCTTCAGAGGAGCATGGCAGGAGGCAGAGAGGGAAATCGGGAAGAAGCTACCTCTGAACACGTATAGGGAGTGGGGTGCAACTCACACCAGTGCTACCTGGCTGTCTCTCTTACCCACCTACCCCACACCAGCTGGACAGAGTAAGGTGACCCCAGAATGGGGCCAGAGCTCCACTGTCCTATGGACTGACCACCATTCATCCCGATTGGTACTTGCAGACTGTTTGGCACTATGGAGACTAAAGTGTTTCTGTTTTCCCAGAGGGAAGGAAGAAGTCAAGAGTTGGCTCAAGTTTTCATCAGGATAGGGGAGAAATTTCATAACTGACAAAACTGTAAAGTGATAATTACAGAAAAAGACAAGAAAACAAAACAAAACAAACAAACAAAAAAAACCCCAAGTCACAGCCCAGTGCTAGTGGCTCACTCCTCTAATCCTAGCTACTCAGGAGACTGGGATCTGAGGCTTGCTGTTCAAAGCCAGCCCAGGCAGGAAAGTCTGTGAGACTCTTGTCTCTAATAAACTACTCAGAAAAAGCTGGAAGTGGAGCTGTGGCTCAAGTGGTAGAGTGCTAGCTTTGAGCACAGAAAAGTTTAGAGACAGAGACTAAGCCTTGAGTTCAAGCCCTAGGACTGGCAAGCAAAACAAAACAAATCACCAAGTCACACTGTGAGTTGTTCTGTGACCTTGAATCTCCTTCATGCTCAAGGCTGAGGCTCTACTAGTCTTGAGAAAGTCTCCTCCACTATCTCTGATGACTTTGCTAACAGCAGAGGGCCATCACCTAGCAAAGTAGAAACATTGAAAGAGAAGGGGTGACGCCCTCTCTCGCTGCAATGGATGCTCTGAACCCCAACTTGGAGAAAAAAACCACCAAGATTCAGGAAGGCCAGAGAGCCCCGACTGGGGTTCTTTTCCTTGCCTCCATTGCTGGAGCTTCCTGTGCAGAGATCTTTGGCAGTGCTTGCTGAGCAGCTGTGGCTTGGTGAGCCAATGTCTGGAGTCTTCTGTGCACCCAAGGAAGAAGATTCAAAGGTGTGTGGGGTGGGCGGGGGGTGGGAGGCCGGTACCTGGGGCTCCTGGCTGTGCTGGCTTTTTCCTAGGGCCTTTGTGGCTGGGCTCATCAGTGTCTGGTCAGACAGATTCCCCATCCCTGTGGCCACTGTGGTGTGGGACAGTTTTATAATGACAGTGTTGAAAGCCAACAATGTTCTCCAAATGGATGCCAGGCCACATTTCTGAATTCTTCTGGGATCACCCGCTGAGACCCGTGTGCTTGGGTGCTCCTGGGGGTAAGCTTGTCCCTTAAGGGTCCCCTGCCACCCGTCAGCATCCGAGCAGGAGCAAGAACTGCCCTAGGGTGCGAAAGTGGCATAGGTCTGTCTTGCCTACCTTAAAACACCTGGCATAGAACTCTCTGGATTTGATAACATGAGTAAGGAGGAGTGGGATCCAGGAGGAATCCAGAAGGGCCCAGACGCTCTCTGGGAGCCTGGTGGAGAGCATCTCCCCCCCCCCCATGGCCCACATTCCCGCCTCACTCAGACATGGCTGCATTTGTGCAGCAGGACAGTTGCAGCAGCAGGCAGGGCTTTCACAGCAGGGGAGAGCCCTAGAATCGCCCTCACCTGTGGTTCCTTCTGGGATCTCCGTGTGGCCCTGGGCAGCAGCCTGCTCGCCAGGGATTCTCTCCTCCACTAAGGGTGCGGTCACGTCTGAAAACCACCAATAATGACCTCAGGTGTGTATGGGGGTGTACATGCCCAGCCGCTGTCCTTTGCTGCTTAATCAAAGTGATGCAGGGAAGGGAGCAGCTACATGCAAGAAAGCACCAGCACTAAGCAGGCCCAAAACTTCCGGCCCCCATCGTGGGGGACCATTGATGAATTCAGCTTTATGGCAGAGGCAGGAGGTAGCCCTCTAGAAGCTGTGGTCAGTGTCCCATGGAAGCAATCACCATAGACCACTGGTCCTCGGGAGCGGCCTAGTTCCATCCAGGTGCTCTGGACATGAGAGGTGGTCAGCTCTGAAGGGTTCTTGGGAGCCAATCAGCTTTGTTTCATGAAGGCCACTTAAATTATGGTCATCTCCAGTGTAGATATAGCAGCTAGATAAAACCCAGCCTCCACCAAGCTCTCTGCAAGAGCCAAGGTGCCTGGGGCTACACAGGTACAGTCTAGACTGCACTAAGCCATGGGAGAAAGCTTCTTCTGGAATGATAATGACAGTGTGGAAAGCCAGGCTGGGGAGGCAAGTGCGGGAATTCAGGACTTCCTCAGGTGACATGTAACTTGTAAAACAGATGAGCAGGAAATGTCTTGCATGACCAGCTATCAGGGGAGCAAAGAGAATTTGACCTGGACACTATCACCAGACTGAGGAGCTCAGGACTAAGGGCTACCTGGCTGCACCTTCCACACATGTGCCGTAACGCTAAGTAGCTGGCAGGGACTTGACAGCAACTTTCTGGACTAATTCAAAGGTGGATGCTTAAGAAGGTGCCAGGGCTAAGTTCTCTTCCAGTGATATAACAACGCAAGGTGCAGGGTGTGGGGAAGTGAGGGGAATGAAGCTTGGATCTCTTTGAGGAGGATGAAGTGATAGAGGGCAGATGCCACTGACTGGTTCAAATATGATTCTCCATGTCCCTCTCTCTCGATTTATTTTATTAAACAGGCTGAAAAGCAAAATGCTCAAAATTCTAGCCATGTACCAAGGGTGGCCAAGAGACCCAGGTCTGGCCAAAAGATACAAGTGGAAATCTGCCAGGAAGAGCTTGCAGGAAAATGCCTGTTTTCCTAAGAGAACACAGTGGGTATCAGTTCTCTTTTGGCTATTTTACTTTTCTTCCTTCCTTCCTTCCTTTTTTTCTTTCTTCCTTTCTTTCATTTCTTTTTTGTGTCAGTACCAGGGCTTGAACTCAAGGCCTCACATTCTTGCTGAGCATTTTTGCTCAAGGCTGGCACTATACCACTTGAGCGATAGTTGCACTTCTGGCTTTTTGTTGTTTAAATGGAGAAAAAGGTCTCTCAGAGGCTGGGCAATGGTGACTCATGCCTATAATTCTAGCTACTAAGGAGGCTGGGATCTGGGGATTATGGTTTTGAAGCTAGCCCAGACAGGAAAGTCCACAAGACTATAAATCACCAGGAAACTGGAAGTGGTGCTGTGTAAAGTGGTAGAGTGCTAGCCTTGAGCAAAAGAGCACAGGAACAGTGCCCATACCCTGAGTTCAAGCCCCATGACAGACATTAAATTTTTTTTAAGGGCTGGGAAAGTGGCTCAGTGGTAGAACGTTTGTCTTGCATGCATGTGGCCCTGGGTTCAAATCCTCAGCACCACATAAGCAGAAAAAGCTGAAAGTGGCGCTGTGGCTCAAGTGCACTAGCCTTGAGCTGAAGAGCTGAGGGACAGTGCCTAGGCCAAGAGTTCAGGCCCCACAACTGGCAAAAAAAAAAAAAATTAAAAAATTCTCTCAGACCCTGGGTTCGATTACCCAGCACCACATAAGCAAAAAGAAAAAAAGCCGGAAGTGGCGCTGTGGCTCAAGTGATAGAGCGCTAGCCTTGAGCTGAAGAGCTGAGGGACAGCGCCCAGGCCCAGAGTTCAGGCCCCACGACCAGACCCCCCCGAAAAAAAATTCTCTCAGATATGTCTGCCTAAGCAAGTTTTGAACCAGGATTCTCAAAACTCAACCTCCTGAGTAGCTAAGATTACAGGCATGAGCCATCAGTGCCTGGATTATACTTTGCACTTGTTCTTGCTCAGACATGATGCTTAGGGTTGCTGCAGCCATCTTGCAATCAAGAGGCAATGACCCATCCGTTAAGGATAGCAGGGGATGAAGACAGAGTGCATTAGCAATGCCAGGGAACTGCTGCTCAAGTCTAGACATCTTATTAAGTGAGATGAACAAACCTCTTCACACATTTGCCATCATGAGTTGGGTTTTCTGTTGCCTGGACTCAAATATAGTAGTTTCCATTCACACAGATGGGAAAACAAGAGAAGGCGGTGAAAAACCAGGAGTAAGAAGTGTTTCAGGAAACAGGTAAGGGATTTTATAAAAATTTGGACACCAGCTATCTGGAGGAGACAAGCTAGAAGAGCTTGAACACACCCCACAGCCCAAGTCCAGAGGCCCAAGCCCTGTCCAGGGACCAAGAAAGGAAGGACATGAAACCAACATCAATCCCAAGGCGTAGCTGAGGAGATGCTCTGCCCCACCCGTACTTCAGCCAAATGGAGACCCAGGGTCCTGAGAGAAAAGCGAAGCGGAGGTCCTGAGGGGGCTGAGGAAGGATGGAGGTTCTGGGGAGCTGTGGCACACAGTTCAGTCTCTCAAAGCACACGCGAGACCACGGTGAGCAAGGCAGAGAAGCAGCAGCATCCTGCAAAGCACTGCACGGCACAGCTCTCAGCCAGAGGGAGAGGGAGCAGGGAGGCCATCGGCCTAGTGCCCAGCCAGGATGGGAGGCTCAGAGCGTGGCTAAGCGCAGGGAGGGTGCGGTCTGAAGGAAGCGGTGGGAGGGAGGCCCCACCTTCAGCCGTCGGAGTGCTCTTAGCATCAGAGGTCTCAGAGCCCGGTTCCTCAGATCCGTCATCGGCAGGAGTCTGCAGGGGAGACTCTGGAACATACACAATGAGCCCTCAGAATGGCTGCCTCTTCCCATGCCCCACTGTGCCCTTGGGAGGAACTTGGGAGCAGTGTCTTTTGAGCTGCAGCCCCCTCACAGTGACCCCATTGCCTCATGATGAAACCGTAAAGAGATCCAGCCCTCCATCTCCCCCATGTAACTGTGTCCCCCAGAGTCCCAGGACACAGGTGTTTTGTGTGTGTTCCTTAGGGGGATGGATGGATGGATGGATGGATGAAATGAAACATGAAAAGCTCCCGTCAGATTTTGGAGTCCTTTTCCAAGACCTCTTAGTCACCTATGTTTCCTTGTCTTCTCCTGAGCCTGGTCCTGCATACCCAGAAAGAACTCTCCTGTCTTCTGATGGGTCAAGGCTCCTCAGCTCTTGGCTAGGTGAATCCTCTTACCTGTATGATAGCCGTTCACGACTCTTCATGCATGTATGGGCTGCAGAATGTTCTTTGTTGCATAGTTATCCTACTCAAGGCATAGACTAAAATCTAAAGCCAGGGAGTTAGATCACAGGCTCTGGAGGCAGGCTGAGGGAGCCCAAAACCTGGTCCCGCCACCTACCAGTTGTGTGGCTCTGGCCAAGGGAGTTAACCTTTTTTCTTCCTCAGTTTCCTCCCCTATAAAATGGGGCTCACAGTTCTGTTCACAAGGCTTTCGTGATTATGAAACTGCTTAAAGCATATTTAAAGTACTACATGCCAGGCCTGGCATGTGAGAAGCCATCAAGATGTGATGATTACTATCAGCCTTACCACGCTACCTTGACTGAAGGGCTCAGGGAGAGGGAGCACTGTGCACTAACAGGAACGTGAGTTGTTGTTGTTGTTTTTTTTTTAATGCTGTTGCTAATGTTTATGTAGATATCTCATAGGAATTCCTGGGGCTCCTAGCATGACATCAGATGAACATATGGGCTCTGATCATAGGAAGGAAAGTCCTACACCATTTGTAGTCACAGCCACATGAGATTTGTACCCCATCAGACACATTACAGATACCTCCTCTGTGACACAGGCTGCTGAGGGATTCCCCGCCCCACCTCCCCAACCTCACCAAGCCCTTCCATCTAGCTCTTCCTCCTTGGAAATCATCCTGATATGACTTGAGCTGTGTCTAGTCAAGAAGCCACAACACTCAGCCTCCTGGGGAAGTTTTGGGAGATGATATTTGGGTGCTCCCTTTGAACCATCTTATTTCCTTCCCTTCTTTGCTTCTTTCTTTTTTTCCTTTCCTCCCTATCCCTCCCTCCCTCCCTCCCTCCTTCCTTCCTTCCTTCCTTCCTGTCCAGGGTTGTACCTATGTAGTCTAGGTTGAGCTTGAATTTCTCCTGCCTTAGGTCCCAGGCCCCTTCTGATCTATGATATCCCTAAGATACCTTGAAGGTGGAAACTGCTTGATAAAGGTAGTTTTGCTTTTTCCATATGAAAAAAGAAAACACTCTCAGCCTGCTGACTGGACACAAGCAGGCAAAGGACCAGATCAGGCCTGCCAGTCATTTTTCTAAGGAATGGCCTCCTGCCCTCAGTGGATGAGACAGAATGAAGGGAGGAGGGTGCAAAGGCCACAGGACCGCTGTGTTTAAGCCAAGGTTTGATATAGGGATGTGTGGGTCAGGTGAATTGGAGGATGAGGTCCCTGGGGAGCCGTGGAAGGTTATAACGGCTGGCCAGGGTCATCATCATGACCCTATGAATGGTGGTGCCACTCATAGCTGGCTAGCGGAGTATGGATGGGCACTTGTTAGGTTGCAGGTGTGCCTGGTGCATTCAAGAGATAGATATTGCCCTTTAAAAAGCAAGAGGGAGATTCTAAGGTTGGAGCAATCTCAGAGTCAGAATGGGGGACCAGGGTGGTGGTGACTCTATGCACAGGCAGAACACAGTAACAAAGACAAATGGAGTTCAAGTCCACAACACAATCATGCACCCCACGGCCTTGGTCAAAATGCAGCCTCTAAGACATGGACCATCAGGCACCCATTGTGCCAAAGGACTGCCCAGTGCTACACAAGCTTTGGGAATATCCAGCTCCTTGGTCCTGGAGCATGTGAAAACCCACAATATGCTTCAAGAAGATTTAGACATATGGTGATGCCTCACCAGGAAGACAACCTTTGGGTCTCGGTACTAACCAGCTTGGACTGTAGGGGACAGGGCACAAGGTGTGATGGAGCTCCTTTCCCACCCTGCTCACCATCTGCATTGTTTTTGGAGGGGAGGAAGGAGGGAGATGCCCCTTCTCAGTGTCTGGAAAGCAAATAAAGCTATCACCCCTTTTTAATCCCGAGGGTGCATGGTTTTACAAGCTAACGTGATTTTTTTTTTTAAAAAACCACTTTGCAGCTCTCTGCCTGTATTCAGTCCTACTCCAGTTTTGAGCATCTGCTTAGACACTCTTTGTTCTGCTATTTCACACATCTGCCATTTCTTGTCATTATTCAAAACAGTCTTTTGTCACTTATCTAAACTGTTGTTAGTACAGTGATACCTTCTGCCAAGTGAAACCTGTCACTTCTCACATAAAAATAGATCATTCTACACTGCTCAGTACCAGGAATCAACTTGATGGAAAGTATGGAAATCTCTTAGGCATCACTGGTTTTTGTGGAAAGTACAATCTTTGGGTAAGCAAATTATCATCACAGGCTTTCATTTCAGAGACATTTCCAAAAGGTTTAGCAACCTCAGTGTTGCTGTTTTGTTGTTGTTTTTGTTGTTGTTGTTGGTGGTGGTGGTGGTGTGTGGTGCTAGCATAGAATGTCTCATATTTCATGTGAAAGATAGTTTTAAGCTGGATGCTGGTGGCTCATGCCTGTAATCTTAGCTACTCAGGAGGCTGAGATCTGAGGATCATAGCTCAAAGCCAGCCTAGTTAGGAAAGCCCATAAGACTCTCATCTCCAATGAACCACTAAAAAACTAGACGTGGAAATGTGGTTCAAAGTGGTAGAGCACCAATCTTGAATAAAAGAGTTCTATGATGTACCAAAAACAAAAAATTGGGTAGTTTGAGCAAATAAGCTTTAGGTGACCCTGAATCAGAGAAACCTGGTAAGCTTGTTCTACTTACAAATTGAATATAATATCTCTTTTAGACAAATAATATGAGTAAAAACCACTCCCCCATTCCCACTTTAATTTAAATGAACTTGTAATTTTAGGACAGTTAGATATACAGAAAAATTGTGAAAATTGTAGGGTTTTCCTCTTACTCAGTACACTCAGTTATTAACATCTGACATTATTATGGTACGGACTTTTTTTTGGCAACATAGTATACCTTTTTATTTTTTTTTTTGGCTGTACTGAAGTTTGTTGTTGTTGGTTTTTTGTTGGTTGTAGGGCCTGAACTCTGGGTCTGGGCACTGTCCCTCAGCTCTTCAGTTCAAGGCTAGCGTTCTACCACTTGAGCCACAGCGTCACTTCTAGCTTTTTCTGCTTATGTGGTGCTGAGGAATCAAACCCAGGGCCTCATGCATGTGAGGCAAACATTCTACCACTGAGCTACCTTCCCAGCCCCTGTACTGAAGTTTTTTGAGCTTGCTGGCATGCCTTCAACCCTATAATATACACTTTTAATAGTTAAACCATGCTTTCTTGTGTGGTTACATGTAGATACATGTGGTTACATGTGCATACACCCTGGTTCAGGATATGAATCTTTCACTGTGAGTTCTGTATATTATGATTCTAACTTGGGTGTTACCCAAGAGATTTTTTCAGAATTGAATTTGTTTGTTTGTTTGTGGAGCTTAAATTCAGGGCCTGGGAGATGTCCCTGAACTCTTTAGCTCAAGGCTAGCACTCTAACACTTTGATCTATAGTGCCACTTCTGGTGTTCTGGTGGATAATTGGAAATAAGAGTCTCACAGGCTTCCTGCCTGGGCTGGCTTTGAAGTGATCCTCCTGAGTAGCTAGGATTACAGGCATGAGCCACCAGTGCTCATGGCTAGAACTGAACTTATTATACATTTCTCATAGCACTTGGTGGTGACTGGTTCCATGTTGGGAAGTTTGACTGTAGTGTGTCCCCCAACCCTCACCTGTGAGCTAGCCTCCACCCCAACTGTGTCACTGTGACCAGCCTTTCTAATTCTCCAGCATCAGCAGGGCACTGGTGGCTCATGCCTGTAATCCCAGCTACTCAGGAGGCTGAGATCTGAGGATCGTGGTTCAAAGCCAACCCAGCTAGGAAAGTCCGTGAGACTCATCTCCAATTAACTACCAGAAAACTGGAAGTGGCACTGTGGTTCCAGTGATAGGGTGCTTGCCTTGAGCTGAAGAGCTAAGGGACAGTGCCCAGGCTCAGAGTTCAAGCCCCATGACTAACAAAAACAAAAACAAAACAAAAAACCCAAAAATCCCACAAAAAACCAGAACAACAAAAAAACGAATTCCCCAGTATCTCCCTCCCCGACTCCTGACACGGGCAGAAGCCAGCCTGTGAGATAGCGCCCCCTGCTGCCCACCTCATCCCAGCCCTCCTCCAAGTACTCTCCTTGGCTGGACACTGCAGTGGAGTCTCTTCTCAGCCCAGAGCTCCAGGGCTTTACTAACTACCCCACACCCTGACTGCAAAGCACTTCATTATTTTTAGCATTACAAGAGACATGGACCCTGTTCTACTCGGGCTGCGATCTTCCTACTTCTGTTTCCCTGTGTTTCTGCGGACCATTGCATCCAGCCATTATGCGATTCCCAGGGTGGGGATAACAAACAGATGCACACTGCCTTGTCCAATCTTGATTAAGATGGGATCTTGTGAACCTCTTGTGCCCAGGATGGTTTCAAACTATAATGTCTGCCTCCTGAGTATCTAGGATTACAGGTTTGAGCCACCATGTCCAGCTAAGAAATTCCAGTTTCTATTGCTTCTCTAGTTTCATAACAGGAGGGGTAATCACTTTTTTTGAGGCTAGACAATAAAAACAAAGAAATACAATAATAAAAGCAAACCACAACAACAAAAAGAAAAATGTAAATCCTTGCCATTTTATCTCCCTGACAATGGTTCTGGGGAGGGGTTCTTCTCACCAGGGCAAGTGGGGCTGTACCTAGGAGTGTGGATTGGGAAGGGAATGTTGGGCGGGGGGTTGTGGAACACCATATAGCACAGCTCTGGCAGGGAATGAGGGGCTGGCTCCAAGAGCTACAGCCAGGACTCTGGGTGTCCGTGGATGGTAAACACGTGGTTACATGGTGAGGCATAGTGGGGTCAAGGGAGAGGTCATGCACCATGGCCAGGAGATTGTATTCTAGCTTTTGCATATGCAGATATGATTTATTAATGGGGATATAGTAAAAAAAAAAAAACTAGAGTTTAACTTCCAGACACTGGTGGCTCACACCTAATAATGCTAGCTACTCAGGAGGCTGAGATCTGAGGATCTTGGTTCAAAGTCAGCCAGGGCAGGAAAAGCTGTGAGACTCTTATCTCCAATTAACCACCAGAAAACCGGAAGTGGAGCTGTGGCTCAAGTTGTAGAATGTTCGCCTTGAGTTGAAGAGCTGAGGGACAGCACCCAGGCCCAGAGTTCAAGCCCCATGACTGATTAAAAAAAAAATTCAGATCTCACCTATCTTGCTAGAGAGGGGCCAGACAGATCTGATTTAAAGGGCTGCAATGTTATGAATAAAGCCACACATTTCACATGCTTATCGGAGTACTATTTTATAGGCTGGCAGGTGTTGCTCCTGACACAAAGAGCCCATGTATTACTGAGTGACAAGCCATGGAAGTCTCTGTCATACTCCATCCATTCAAGCAGTCTTCTACTCTGGAAAGGTGGATTTTCAGATAACCAGCCGCCTGCGTGCCCCCCCGCCCCCCGGGCCCCAGTTCTGAGTTATCCTGGCCCATTCAAATAAACATGGTGCCCTTTTGCTCACAACAAGGTATTGAAGACTCCTTCAAAAACCAGGATGCGAACCCTTCCTGCCAGTCCCTGCTAAGGCAAGCAGTTGCTGGGTCACCCACTAACCTTTCAGACCATGTTCTGTGTCTCCATCTTGGTCATGCAGCAGGGTGTAGCCCCCAGCATGATCTTCCGTTGTGTCAAACTCCTGGCGGGGCTCAGCCATCCTGGTTCAAGGCTCACCTGGGGAAAAAAGATGGGCGGGTGAGGGGTGTGGGATGCTGAGCCCAGGGGCTTCTGGGAGCATAGGGATAGAACAGGGTTGGCAGGGAAAGAAGTGTCCCTTCCCTCATGTCTCAGCAAGCAGAGGTCAGTCTCCCACTCGTGTCTGACAAGCAGATGTCCAGTCTCAACTTGCTCCCCCCTGGCCACAGTAGTGTGACATTCCTGTGTACTTCTATTTTTTTGGGGGGGGGTCCAGTTGTGGGGCCTGAACTCTGGGCCTGGGGGCTGTCCCTCAGCTCTTCAGCTCAAGGCTAGTACTCTAGCCCTTGAGCCACAAGGCCACTTCTGGCTTTTTTTCTTTTTGCTTATGTGGTGCCGAGGAATTGAACCCAGGGCCTCAGGCATGCAAGGCAAGCGCTCTACCACTGAGCCACCTTCCCAGCCCCTCCTGTGTACTTCTAATCTACTATCACAGCACATTCAAAACAGCTAGGAGAGGCAGGTTCAGCAGGCCTGGCTTATTATCCTTAGTGCTTTCTCCTTGATTAAAAAAATAAATGCCACTGACTGGTCATTTGTTTTTTTGTTTGTTTGTTTGTTTTTTTTTATGGAGAGGATAGGATCAGACAGGACAAAGGAGGTTATCTCAGGGCATTTCTGGGCAGGAAAACCAGGCTCAAAGTTGCAGAGTGATTATTCTATCAATGGCAACTGAAAACAAAACCAAGTCTTTTTGTTTTTCTGCTTAATTAAAGACAGGGTGTCTTGCTACATTGCTCAGGCTCAAGTAATCCTACTGCCTCAGGCTCCCAAGTGGCCGAGACTACTGGAGTGTGCATGGCCTGTATATATGTATGTACATTTTGTTTTATGTGCATATCATGGTGCTTGAACTCAGGGTCTGGGTACTGTCCCTTAGCTTTTTTTTGCTCAAGGCTGGCACTCTACCACTTGAGCCACAGCTCTACTTCTGGTCTTTTGGCAGTTAATTGGAGATAATAATCTCATGGAATTTCCTGCCTTAGCTGGCTTTGAACTGTGATCTTCAAATCTCAGCTTCCTGAGAGGTTAGGATTACAGATGCAAGCCACTGGCTCCTGGCAGAGAGAGAGAGAGAGAGAGAGAGAGAGAGAGAGAGAGAGAGAGAGTGTGTATCTATGTATGTTTGATGCCAGGGCCTTGTGCAGGTTGATTACTTCCCTTGCTCTACATTCCCAGCTCAATCCCAGCTCTTGACTCTTTATGTTTTGTGTGTGTGCTGTCTTGGTCCTTAAACTCAGGGCCTGGGGCTGACTCTAAGCTTCTTTTGCTCAAGGCTAGTGGTGTTCTAGTGGTGCTCATAGCACCACTTCCTTTTTTTTTTTTCTGAGTAGTTTATTAGAGATAAGAGTCTCATGGACTTTCCTGCCTGGGCTGGATTCAAACTGAGATCCTCAGATCTCAGCCTCCTGAGTAGGTTAAGATTACAGGCATGAGCCACCAGTGCCTGGCTTTTATTGGTTTTTTAGAGGTCTCACCAGTAGCCCAGGCTGGCCTGGAGCTTGAGATCTTTAAACTCAGTTTTAAGCTGGGGTTAGTTGCATACCACCTCATGTAGCGCTGCCTCTTTCTTGCTGTGGCCTCTGGATTCCCACAAGGGAGAAGATTATTATGTTAAGGCTCTAAAACTGGGACAGGCACGGCAGCTTTGGGCTCTACTCAAGGTCTTGGAAAGTGAAGGGAATGTCTCCCCCAGGCTTCTGCCAGTTACTCTGGAGGCTGAGATCTGAGGATTATGGTTCAAAGCCAGTCTAGGTAAGAAAGTATGAGACTCTCATTTCTAACCACCAAAAAGCCAGAATTTGAGCTGTAGCTCCAGCAGTAGAGCTTGAGCCTTGAACACAAAAGCTCAGGGATAGCTCCCAGGCCCCGAGTACAAGCCCCATGACCAGCATACATACACACTCACAGTTCACAGGTCTTTATTATCATGGATTTTTCAACCCAGAGGAATTCCATGTTAGCTTCGGGTCAAAGGCCAGCAAATTATTTCCAGCAAGAAGAATTTATCAGAGGGTATTCAGGCAGACTTCGTGGCTGCAGTCTCTGCAAAGGTGGTGGGAAAGCAGGTCTGATGGCAAATGAACAAACATGACCACGTTCTGACAACACTTCATTTATGGGCAGTACAACTTGAGTTTCATCAGTTATGGAATATCATTCCTCTTTTGTGTTGGCTTTTCTCAGCCATTCAAAAATACAGACACACTTTTAGCTCAAGACAAGGTTTGGCCCGTGAGCCTCTGTAAGGCTTCTCTAGTAGTTTCTGACAGTAAAGACAAAAGCCCTATAAATAAATAAGTCTCAGCCAAAATATCTCATCAAACATGGTAGCACATGCCTGTAATTCCAACATTTGAAAGGCTGAGCCAGGAGGATCCTGAGTTTGAAGCCAGTTTAGACTATGTAGTGGGACCCCATCTCAAAGCAAGCAAACCAAAGCCTGAGTACCTGACTGCCTTGCAGCCCTCCGCTGTGTTCCTTTCTTGGGTGTTACTGGGGCTGGAACTCAGGCGCTCTACCAAGAAGCTGTGCACGCAGCCCCCACTCCCTGTCTTCTCAGTGTGGAGAGGTTTCCATAGACTCCTACTCAGGAGCTGGAGAAGCCAGGGTCATTCCTGGTCTTGAGCCTGGTGCCTCCATCCTGGAGTTTGGGATATGGAGCCAGGCTGCCACCTTCAGCCCTCAGAGCAGACAACAAACAGGGCAATGGGCCCCTCAGTTCTGGTTCCTAAGGAGCTCTCCTCGCCTCTGCCCTGCCCCTCAGAGCTGCAGTCTGCTTTACCCACCGGAAGCTGTGTGAATCACAGGGGCTGATGCAGAAATTAAACCAGCCTGGCAGTACGGAAAACAAACTGTTCCACTCAAAGGCGAATATTTTCCCTTAGGAGATAAAAAGTAGAATGAGTAGGAAGAACTGTCAAGAGTCAGGAGGCTCACTCTACTACCATTTCTCATCCTGTAGACCCCAGCATTTTTTCTACATTCTTCATGAGAGGACTAGGGGGGCTTCCCAGCCATGACTACAGGCCATGCTAAGAAAGACAAGCAAGGCTGGGGGCACCGCACTTAGTGCTAGAGCATTCGCTTCGCATGGGCAAAGCCCTGAGTTTGGTCCTCAACATAGAAAAAGAAAATGGAAGGGAATGGAAAGGAGAAGATAAAAGAGGAGAGTGAAGGGGAATGGGAGGAGAGAAGCCTGTGTTCTGGCACATTCTTTAGGGTGGAACTGGCATAGAAAGAAGAGGTCCCGGGAGAGCAAGAGGTGACACACACTGATGGCGTGCGAGCAAGAAGCGCCATGGGGGACCTGCCTGGGCTGATGCTGCAGGAGCCCCAGGGTCTGAAACAGGAAATGATCACAGGGCACCCGGCAGAGCCTGCTTGATCCCTGTGGGTACCCCACAGGGCACAGGACAGAGCCAGCCAGCAAATAGCACAACAGTGCATCTCAGCCAGAGACTCCCACAAAACATGTAAATAAGCAGGCCCTGAGGGGGCTCCTTGTAGAGACCAGGCCTGTCATCTCCTCTGCATCCCTGTAATCTCAGCAGACAGAGGAAAACAGACACCAAGCTGACTTCCTGTTCTCAGTCACTCTGTCTCTCTGTCCTCAGTCTCTGACTCCCTACTTCCTGTTTGCCCCGCCAGAGGTGTGGAGACAGTGAGGGTACAAGGTAAGGAAGACCTTGTAAGGGAGGAAAAACAAAAGCTACAATGAGTCATTTTTAGGGACTCCTGGAAAAAGAACTGCCTTCTGAGAACTGGTAGGTCCCAGATTCTGTCCCTGACATCCTGTAGATAAATTAGGTCCCTGGGAGGAAGACAGGCTTGCTGAGCCTGCTCTCCTACAGGAACGGAGCTGATCAGTGGCATTTGGTACATGCACAACACTGGCAACCACAGCTTTTGTCTCCTCTAAAGCATTCTTTGTCTATACCCCTCCAACCCCCCACTAGAACGGCTGTCATACAGAGTAATCCTGCCTTCTGCTCCCTGGTAACCCCTGGCTCCTTCCAGTCTGTGGATTCAAGTCTTCTGGGTACTTGGCATGTATGGAATGGAGGCCTGGGCCTGATATCTCGCACTGAGAGATCAAGTTCAAGGTTTGTCCAGTGTTTCAATCCAAAGCAGTAAAAATTCCAGTGAAAAGATGAACCACAAACTGGCAGCCAACAAATGATATGGGACTATTTTAATTTGTGGTTTTTTTTTGAGTGGTGTTGGGGTTGGAGTTTCAATTCAGGGCTTTACTGAGTTTGCTAGGCTGGTATGACACTGAACCACACCTCCAGCCCTTTTATCGCTGGTCGATTTTAGGATAGGATTTCACTCCCCTCCTGGGCATAAGCGTGGGCTTCGATCTGCCTACTGCTGGTTTCTTCTGGGATAACAGATGTGTGCCATCTCCAGCTTCCTTCCATGGAGACAGAGTCTTGAGGACATTTTTGCTCAGGCTGGCCTACACTTGTTCTAAATCTCCCCATTCTCAGTCTCCTGAGAGCTAGGATTATAGGCATGAGCCACCAGTGTTTAGCATATGGGACTTTCTGTTGTGACCCCCCCCAAGAATGCTGAAAGAGGGGTGTAGGAGAGATGTGGTGAGAGAGAGAGGGGCTGGAGGAAGGAGGAGACTGGCAGGGTCCAGACATTCAGCTTCTTCCTTGCCAAGACTGGGGTCCCAAAGGCTCTCCAGCCCTCAGGAGTCAGGTCTGTGGTGTGAGACCTGCATAGGAGCTCACTTGCTAGCTTAGGCTGTCCTCTAAGGTGGATGGAAATGCACAAGGAGCCCTGGGTGCAGGGTTCACCTCAGAGGACACCTCTGGAGCTTTGCTGGGACCTTGCTTGCTCTCTGGAACGTGCCTCCATTGCCCACCTTCCCAGGCCACAGTCAGGGGTCAGGGGACTCTGATCCTCTACCTCCCCTGCCCTGTTACCTTCGGGATGATTCCC